CTAAAAGTATTTTGGACCATTCAAAAGCAATGAGGCTAATACTGTGATGGATGCATTTTCGTCACGCTGTCTCGTCAGAATCCACAGGGGCTGCTTTCCACTCGTCGTTCTGCCAGCAGAACGTTCTGGATGGTCAGGAAGTGTTTCTCAGCTTCCTCCTCCTCAGACTTTTGAAGCCTGCAGCTGTCTGTCACACCGAAGGGAGAACCACCTGGAGAGATATGAAATGAAACCGCTGGCAACCCTTCAACAGAACTGTCATTAACTTCTAGGGGGGAGGGGGGTCTCTAAGATAATACAATAATACTAATGTGCTGCAGCTTTCCTTATTTAAACAGAAAAACATGTATTCACAAATATGAAAAAATGAGTATGAGAGAGAGGAATTTTCTAGCATGATTGACACATCCAGCAAGAAGCGCTATAGGTTCTTCACGTCTGTTTGTGGGCCTGATTGAAACAAATGCAACAAAGACGACACACAGATTTCCATATAACTGTTCCCTCAATCCACAAAAGAGTGTTTTACCCATAACTCATGCTCATCGAGATTGACTAGATTGTCCAACAGTTGCACACAGGCAGGTTTACTCAGAGACAAAGCGGTTTGTGCGGTGTGAAGAATCGTGTAGATCTTTGGTTGTGGTTGTGCAGTGAATAAATCACTGCAGCATCGCTTCCTCCTCTTCGTGCGGAGCAGGATGATGTCGAGTCAGCCTGTGTGTTCAGCAGGCGTCTGGCACCACAAAGCACAAACACGGGCCCGTTGGAGGAGCAACGAGGCCGCTGGATGGGCCAGAGGCCGCAAATTCCACAAGAATCCGGACTCTGGCACGACGGAGCAACAGCCAGGGCCTCGTTTAGGTCGCTCAACAAGGAGGAAGGGTTGTGCTGCATTATGGATTTCCTGTGAATGTGAAGGATTTTAGCTTATTCAGGATTGTGCCAGCAATCGAGATTCTTCCCTCCCCATAAAAACAGAAGAATACAAATTGTTGTCGTTTCGTGCTCCAGAAGGAGCCTTGTGGAGCACCTCATTCTTGTCCGCTATGAAAAGCTACTTAAGCGGTCTTGAAAATCGCCCGCGGCCAACAATCCATCAGAAAAATGACAGCTCATGTATGGATCTGTCAGGTTTTCATCATCATTATTCCTCCTGGCCGAGCCCGGTGGTTTCGTATCAGCGCTGCGTTACGCTCTGCTTACTGTCAATCACCTCACACGCCGCGAAGACCTGGAGGAAGTAACCGCTCCAAAGCTCATTTCCTTAGAAACGTAACATCTGGGGCTTCCCGTGAGATGGCTGTAATGAGTTGGACATGAAAGCCAGAGTTCCTAAGAGATTTTCTTTTGTGAGAATAAGATGAAGACAGCAGGAACTGAGTTTCATCAACCTCTCTGTCGTATCCTTTGTTTTGTGGGCTTTTTTTCGGAGGGGACCATTTCTACTTGGCTGTGCAGTTCAACACAATGGAATCTCTCGTGGCACATGGGACAATTTACCAAAGCAACACAGATGAAAGGATCTCTCTCTCTTTCTCTCTGTCACTCTTCCCACTCCCGGTCTGGATTGATTTAACTGTACTGTTTCAATTGTCTGTGCAGCACCAGATGTCGGCCATATTTGAACTGAATTGGGAGCCAGGCCTTCTCGACTGGGCACAGGGCCGTCTCAATAGTTTGACTCATTGCTTGACTGTGATTTTTTTCCGAGAATTGTAGTTGTCCCTGTGCGGTTGGACCAAACGTGGGTGAAGGGCAATAATAAGTTTGCAGAAAGACATTAAGATGGCCGGTAAATAAGAAAAAGTATAGCCTATATCTGAAAGATAACAACTCTAAGTTCTCTAAGTTATTGAGTACAAATCAGATGTAGTCACTGTTTGGGCCGCCAGCCAGTGTTTAGTGTCTTTCAGCTCATTGTTTTAACTTTAAAACAGGATTTTGATTTCAGCTGACCAGGCAATTATCGTTGCGATTTGGTGGAGACCAAATACGGAGCAAAAACAAAAGACACCAAGCTTATTTTGGGCTGTATGTCGGATGTCTAAATACAAATGGAATGAAAGATCTCCATCTTGACTTAAGTGCTATGTTTACAAGCTGCTTCCAGGTGGCCAAACTATGTGCGAATGCAGCATTAAAGTAGCTCTAAAATCATCTCTACACTGGCTCACACTATATAACATCTGGGCAGTCAGCTTGTTCTGGCTCTCAATTGAACCCACATGCACCCGTGTGTCCTTTTATATAGATTGTATAAAGGAATCACTCTGATGGATTTGGTATATCTAAAACATTTGGGCTTTATGTATTATCCGGGATAACAACGCGTGTGCTTAGGCATCCAGTGAGCCAGCTACAGAGGTTAACTCGAGATGATAGATATATCTAACATGTCACTGAAAACACATTGATTTTAAGTGTCAGTAACTCTGCTGGCCTGGTGTACAGTAACGAACAATCAACAGTTCAACAACTAACATCCCATAACTCAAGTTTTATGTGCATTGTGCACCACTCCCTCCTCATTGCTCTTTTTACTGCACCCTCCAGAAATGACACAAGCGTCTACAGAGACACATGAAGAACGAGGCAAACAGGAAAAAGTCATCCAGTTTAATCAGAAACAGAGAGACGGCAACTTTCAACTTTTAAATTGTCCTCACTCACTTTCATCTGCTCTGACATGTTTAGAGACCTTAATTTCAAAGGATGTATTCAAAAAACATGTTGGGAAGATCTCTCAAAGAGAGAATACCAAGTTTCCGCTTTCACCGGCAAATTCACGATGTTAACAATCCATACAGGAAATGTGGGGATTTAAGCTTTGCAACGCTTTTACTGTCCCATTGAGCCTTTTGACAATCAAAGCAGTCTTATTTCCACCTCTCATAGATCCCATTCCTGCAACAACACAAAGAGAGTGCAGTGATGCTTTGATTAGCGACACAGGACAATGCAGGGGTCAGCACACCCGAACAAGCCTCCCAGTTTCACCTCCCTGCCTCCAGCTTCTCCTCCTATACAGCTCTTCTTATTACTGCCCCTTCCGGCTTCTTGCAAATCCCATCAGTCTGTTTGTCCGGATCTCGCTTGGCGGCTTTTCCGGATCTTGAGAATAAGAAGGAATTGAGAGAGAGAGAGAGAGAGAGAGAGAGGGAGAGAGCAAGAGAGGGCTGGAGTCACTCTCCCAGAGCGTAGATCCAGGATTAGGAGGGAAAAGGGGCAAACACCATGGAGCGGATGAAGGAAGCAGCAGTGAGAGTTAAGATGCCAAACAAAAGAAATTAATTAGAGCTCTCTCAGTGGAGCATTGCTCTACTGATTAAGGATTGAAGGATTATTGGATAAAAAGGTGAAATTCTGTTTTTTTGTGTATGACGGGTCCTCCTTCACTATCGTTTGTCTCTACATGTGAAGGCATGGATGTAAACTTCATCCTACTAAAAAGCTTTTGGCTCTCAGGTTTTAAGATGACTGAAAAATGGTACAATAGTGAAAGAATATTAAACACATTTAAACAATTTTACTTCTTTGGTTTTTCCATTAAGGTAAAATGTATATATTTTGCTCAATCTTATCATTTATACATTAAGTTTAAGTTGCAGATGTGAAAATGCTGAAAGAAATAAAGTAATTTCTCCCTTAAGCTGAGACAAAAATATGAATCGGGTATCGTTAATTCTGAATTAGCTTGTTCCAGGTCTTCATTAAATCCAGTCTCCAATTTTACAACAAATGAAACTATTCGGGCGGCCTTGTGCATCAGTTTGTATACACAACATTTTTGGTACTGGGTTACTTTACAATAATTGAACTTAGTGTTGACTGACACTGAATGGTCAGTTAGGTTTAGAGGTGAACTGTTTCCTTCTTTATTACAAAAAGGTGTACAAAGCCTTTTGTGGCTCTAAAGGAAGCTGCGAAGTCGGATCAATTACCTCAAGCGGCGACGCTCGAGTCAGTGTCTCCTGCGTGTAAGAGACCACACGTTTAAAAGCAAAAAGAAAAGTCTGGCGGTGTGTAATAAATGAGCTCCTCCTGTCCTCCTATTTGTTTGAGGACAGCAGCTCGAGGCTAAATGAGCAAATACTGGCATAAACCACCCAAAGCGGCTGAGAAGTCCGGTTCGGTGCTTTCGTGCAGATGTTTAAAGTGTTCAAAAGGAAAGAATAGCCAAGTTGGCTCGGTGTCAGAGCAACTGACTGAAGAATGAAGAGGAGCTGCAAGCTCTCACCTCAGGATCAAAAGCTCAGAGACACAACAGCAGATAACCTCATGTTGGAGAGAGACAGCGAGACGGTAACTCAAGGCCAAGGTCTCTCCCTCCCTGTCTCACCCACACACACACACACACACACACACACACACACACACACACACACACACACACAGGTGTTGGGGAGGAAAAGGCTGTGTGAAGATTTGTGGTGGTTCGTCGCTCCCTCCCGCCCTTCAGGCAGACAGGCTAATGATGAAAATGTGTATAATTTGAGGGCCACAGCCAAGAAAAATGTGCAAGATGATGATGAATGATAACGAGCCGGATGTTGGACACATGAAAAGAATGGCAAACCTCCAAGTCTACGTTACCTGTTAGCTGTCTGTCTGCCCGGTAAATTATGAAACTTATTTACTACTTTGGTGTTAGATGAGGATTCTGGAACCCGTTACTGTTTGTAAATAGTTAAAGAAGATATTATGAAATACATAAGTAGGTAAAATGTCTTCAGTGGCACAAATGCCACTCATTTAAAAATAAATAATGCTACTCAAATATTGATTTGGCCACGTGACAAGAGGATGATGCTGCTATGCAACTCAGCATTAAGTACGAGTGAGATAAAACTAATTTAGAAAATCATCAGTTGGATATCACCATGTACACATTGGCAATCCTGGTCTCCATTGTGCCTGTAACGCAAGACAACTTCCCCCCATACTCCGCCCCTAAAATCTCTCCAGATGGGGGGGGGCGGGATAGTCCAGTCTCCAGACACGCGTAAAAACAGTCCTTCAGGACAGGCGGGGGCGCGCGTAAAAGCGAGCTGCTTCATTTCACCGATGAACCGGAGCGTTGAACTCGGCCACACTGCCCCACAGTGAAGTTTGAACCGGAGGCGTGATTCCTTTATGATGCTCCGACATCCAAGGAGCGATCGGCCCACGCTTTGGATTCACAATGTGAGTCGGAATACGCGAGGACGCTGCGTAAAGGAAACGCTGAACTCCCAGTGGGACCATTGAAGTTCGTTTGAATCCTCCAAAGCGCAGCATGGGTCTCTTGTCCACACTGCTGCTCGTTGCCTTTCTAGGTAAGACGTTTTTGAAGTTGCCTGAACTCCCTCTGATCCATGAGGTGCTGAGATGCGAAGTGTTAAGGTCCGTTTGACTCCACGTGTTCACGCCAAATAGCGAAAACAGCCGAGAAGCTTTGTTGCTTAGAACCACACAGATGGCGGAGCTCATCTAAATTATTGATGCTTTATTTGACTTTTTTTAAAATGTAATTTTCCTCTGTGGAGAATCTGCAGGAAGCAGACATTGCTCTCCTCACCTATAAGCACACCTGTTTACCATCACAGCGCTGTGTTTGTGTCCAACAGCTCAAATAGCAATACTACTTTCTGGATAAATCATCCCCTGTGCCAACCCTGATGAATACGTTTGAAGGCTGAAAGGCAATAAAAAGCTCACCCGGGGCAGATGAAAGCACTCGGGGGGAGTTAAGAGCCACTTAAAACACCCGTTGCTGATCTGGGCAGCTGAGGATTATGGGACTGCAGATGACACGCAGGGACAGAAGAAGGCCACATTTGGCTTCCACTTCAAACGGCTGGGTTGAGATAAAAACAATATTTGAGTCCACTTATTCTTAAGTGTGTCCCAGTGGAGCTAACGTTGAATTAAGTGGTGCGTTACTGCAGCCTTTTGGGGATGAAGATGCTCTGTGAGGCTGGGTCAGTGTGGGAGGGTAAAAGGTCATAAAAGTCATGGAGCAGCAGCAGCAGCTACTCCGCATTTTTAATCAAATGAATGATAAGTCTAATTAAGACTGCAGGGTATTTAGTTTTTATTCCATCTGTATATATTCAGCCATTCTCCAGATGTTAACGAAAGATCGATCATTTCTCATTCTGCAACTTCTTGTGTTGGATATCGGATACCAAATATTTTATCGCACACCTAAATAAATAGTCGTGCTTTCCATGTTCTGCTACATTCCTGCTAGTATGCACAATTTTGCATTCCAATAATGCTTGTCCTTATCTACAGTGCAAAATATCAATAATATTGTAGAAAAAGTTTTACCCAAAACTCTAACTTGATCGCCCCCTGTTGGCTCGCTGCTAGTTTGGGATGAGCTTGATTGTACTTCACGTTGTGATCAAGATTCATATAAGATTCATTAATTATTCTACTAGTTGGTGGTTTGATTACAGAAGTGTCTGTCAGAAAACGAGCAGAATCATTTCAAGGGAAACATTCTTAGAAATGATCCTGCCATCAGTTTGACAAACGAAAAGAAAGAGCCACCTATAGTTCAAATACACCAACCAACTGCTGTGCAGCTCGGCACGTCCCTCCTCATCAGTGGTGATCAGCTTAAGGGCAAAGACAACTTTTAATACGTTTTTTAAATGGCAGCGCAACAGGAGAATATTTGTCATTCCTTTGAGGAAAAGGTAGAACTCAAAATTACATGAAATGACCTTAATCAACAAGTAGTTTGTACTGGAATTGTACATTCATTTCCACTATATCTTTTTTTTCTTTCCCATCCATGTTTGCTTTAATTTTCCATCTTTACTTTGGAAACAGAGGAAGAGGCGTAGTAGTTCCCGAAAATATTGTTATTAAATGACACTAAGGGTGAGACTGAATTGACCCTGTTAGTGTTTACATTACCTCCCCCACATGCATGCACATATACACACACGCACGCGGACAAACTCCTCTTCTAGTCAAACGCGGTCGGTGCCAAATGCTGAGATAACGCCAAGAACAGTCCTTTGTCCTTTGGTCTCTGCTGTGCCAGTTCTCCATTATTCCCTCCCCGTAAACCATGTGGAGACTCTCTGCTTGTCAAGTCGTCCCTGTGCGTTTACCTCACTGGCGGGATCAGGCCAACTGGAAATGTTCTCTGTGGTTTGAGGCTCCGGAGGTTTTGTTGGTGCTTTGATTTGGATGGAGAGCGGCAGTCTGGGAAAAGCGGCAGCGAGGGACTGGAGACGCTGGAGCTTGATTATTGCCTTAATGTGGGGAAGGTTTTTTTCTTAAAGGAGGCTTTTGGAAGAAACTCACACGTTCAATACTCATTGAGTGTGTAGAGACGCTTCCTCTTAAAAAGTAATTTTACAGAAAGGCTGCGCAGAACTTATTTTTAATAATGTCCTCATTTTTTCCCCGTGTGCCGGTTTTCCATTTTAAGTCCTTGTTTGGCTTTGATGTAGAAGATGTCAACATTGCTTCAAACGAAGGCCGTGTTTCAATATAATTAGGATATCCTCAAAAGTCCACAAATAAATGTTCAAATCTTCCACGTCTGTCAAGAAAGCTCCAGAAGATGCATGTCAGACCTTTTGAGGTCATTTTCAGTTTTAGCAAATTTGCTTTAACTTTCCAACATTCCTTGTCTGTTTAATGGAGGAGATTTGTCTCCGGCGAGCTGCAATGACTGGTGATAACTCACCATTTGATCTGCAGCGTCACACGAGTGTTCACTCGTGTTGTTGGCAACTACCCATATTTTAGAAGCTGAGACTTTATTAAGCTGATATTTTTACTTTATGTCCATCATTTATTGATTAGGCAACACACTTCAGCGCTCAAGCATAAAGTAATGTCTATAATAAAATGTTGATAATTCAATTGTTAATGTTTGTTAACCAGCCCTTGCTGTTGTTGTGTATTTTGCGTCACTATTTCATGTATTATTTGTGTTTTTTGATGGCGCGAAATGCAACTGCTATTAAATCTGAGGTGCAGGAACCTGTGGGGTTGAAAGTGTGATTGCAATAATAATCTCCCCGGGGTTTTCTTTTTAAATACACATCCTGGTAGTTTCTGCTCCCATTGTTGTAGAAGTACTGTTGGCTGCCACTTGACTGCAGGTGCAAAAAAAGGCCACACACACACACACACACACACACACACACACACACAAAGACAGCAAACTGTGAAGCCTTTTCTTGGACTTTTTTTAACACTGCTTCAGCCAGCAGTGTTACTAATGCCGCCAGCTGAGTCGGGGATCAAGTAACCCCCCCTGCCCCCCCCGGTCGAGTGTTTCTACTGAGAAGCGCTGTGATGTGGTGATTTAAACACATAGGAGGACCTTGCTGGGTGTAAGAAAATAAACAAAACCTGGATGGAGCGTTGTTCTTCTTGGAGCTTCTGGCTTCTTTTAATCAGATGTTTTTTTTGCTCCTCCCTTGTGGTGATTGGTCTCGAATGAAAAGCACCGACGCAACAACCCGCTGCATTTTGGGGTGTTAAATGAAACGAATCAGCACTTTGTGTCCAGCTAGAAAGAATTTAAAGCAAAGTCTTCATATTTCAAGGTAGATTTGGGTGATATTTGAGTATTGAATCAAACCTTGTTGGAATGTGGGCTTCAAGGCTTTTCTTTAGCCGAAGGCTTTGAAAATGCTTTCATTTCCGATGTGGTTTCCCCCTAAACACATCCCATTGTTGAGCATATTGTTGTTCCATGTGGTGCATTGAGGGTACGCAGACAGGGTGGGAACTTCAATGCTGCGCTTGTCCTTTTTTTTTACTTGGTAGCTTGGATTTTGAGTATGTTTCAGCTTTTTCGTCAGCTGTGATGGCACAGACATGTGTCAGTTCATCTACCGGGACACCAGGCTCTGCCTTTTCATCACATGTTAATATTAATCCGTAAAGTTCGTACCAGGTGTTGCAGGTCACTGATGAAGGCCTGTTACATCTGGATGTTGACATGAGTTAAAATAAAGAAGCTTTACTGATCGAATAAGCAGTGAAACCATGAGCCAAACCACTTTGACTTTGAAGTAATTGTAATTGACTTCATTATTAGAATTTGTACCACATTTACTCTGAGTTTATTTTATTTTAAGTCTGTATCACATTCTGTGGTGGTTTATTCAACATTTTATCCTCTTTGAAGCAAATGTCCGAGGTTAAAACATGACTTAAAGGTTTATATATCAGAATCGGTGTCTATTCAGGATTTCATTTTAATTCACTGCGTTAATTCACTATATTTCAATACACTGCGTTACTACAGAAATAAACTATTCTCACATACGAAGATGGGAAGTTGATGAATTTTAATGAGCCTGCATGTGACATAGGAAGAGGGGGGGGTTATGATTCGGTTGTTAAATCATGTTTTTTTTTTTTTTTATTTGTAGGTAACCAAAAAAAAATAAACTTGTGTTTGAAAGTTGTAGTATTCATTTTATTTTTCACTTCATGAAGCACAATTGCTACAGTGTTTGCTGTCTCCATTGTTTCCACAGGCTGGGCTGAAGGTGGTTCCTCTCCTCACTACTTGGACGCTCGGTCCAGCCGCCTCTCTCTGGAGAAAACCTACGACCGATCACTCAAAGACGGCCAGTGCCCGCACATGTTAAAACACCTGCACAATGGAGCCCGGATCTCCGTGCAGATGCCTCCCAGCATAGAGGGTCACTGGGTGTCCACCAGGTAAGAAACTAGGACCCGTGTTTCCCAAACATATACGCTCTCCCTTCCTGCAGATTACCTCCAGGTAATATCAAGCTCATCCACAAACATTTTGCCAGTTAAAGTTGCATAAAACCAATGATTTTGTTTGAAGTTATTGACAAAGTAAATCATGAAGTGTAAACTGGGATGAGCAGATATTTTCTGACTAACGTAACACAGCCACAGAGTTTCAAATTATATTTCCTCCTGCATTTATAGATGTGACATTACTTATCTTGAGCCACAAAAAGTGTATTAATTTAAATGGGTTATACTTTTATACTGGAATAAAACCAGTGATGCTTAGAAGGTACGAAAAAATATATGGTGAACGCGATAATGTTATACTTTGGTCGATGAATGTTCTCAATTCAATTATTTATCACCATAATTAAAATACTGAGAGTGGTAGATATGAATGTTGTACATGCAAGTGTGAAGAAGGCCGTTTGAACAGCAGCTTGACTGAAAGGCAAAAAGACACCAAAATAAAAAAGACCCTGGACTTTACTTGAGACCCTTTTTTGGTAATTCTGTTTTAATTGGACGAGAACTTGAATGACATTTATCTGAAACCTCCTGTTTCCCGTTTGCAGCTGTGAGGTGAGACCAGGTCCGGAGTTCCTGACGCGCTCCTACAGCTTCAACTCCAACAACACCTTCCATGCTCACCAGTTCTACTATGAAGACAACCACTGCACCAAACCCACCTACACCCTGGTGATCCGCGGCCGCCTGCGCTTACGCCAGGCCTCCTGGATCATCCGCGGCGGCACCGAGGCGGAGTACCACCTCCACCGCGTCCAGATGGTTTGCCACACGGCCAGCGTGGCCAAAGAGCTCAGCCAAAGGCTCAACCACAGCTGCAGAGGGGCCGTGAAGGGCCCCTGGGATCCCAGCGCCATCTACGAGCTGTGGAGCGAGGACGCCGGCTACGACTGCTCCAGGGAGCTTAACTTCGCCATGCACGAGATGCAGCTGCTGAGGGTGGAGAAGCAGTACCTGCACCACAACTTGGATCACCTGGTGGAGGAGCTGTTTCTAGGGGACATCCACACCGAGCCGTCACAGAGGCTGTACTACAAGCCGTCCAGCTACCAGACCGCCCTGCAGAACGCCAAGGTAAGTCCCCGGCGATGGCGTGCAGCGGTTATTGTAGAGCCAAAACATAGCCGCCATATTTCCGTAGATTCCCTTTCCTGATGGATGGCGACATTATTCTTACCAGAGTAGGTAACAAGAAAAAACTGAATTCTGTAAACACAAAAGTGTTGATTATTATTTTTGTATTAATATCTCTACAACTCCAGAATTAAGCTCTAAAGTCCATGACGCGGCGGTTCTTTTCACAGTTAACCTGGAGGGGTTAACTGTGTGTAGACTTACCAGCCGGTCGTGTTTCAACAAGGAAAGCAAAACAAAGCCAGAGGTAGAGTTTTGTTTACCGTCCTGAAACCCACAGCTGGGTGGAGAGCCTGAACTCAACTCCCACTGTGTCCACACACACACACACACACACACACACACACACCCCAGACTGGCGTGAGCTGACCTGATGACAGCGTTCTTTTATGACAATCTGTCTTGGCGTAAAGCGTGAGGGGACCTGGGTAAAGCAGCACTTGATAGTGTTGCTTTTACATTTTGTTGGTGAGGTAAATATTCTAATTTGTGACACATTATGAATCTGAGACTGTAAACTCCACCTTTTTAAGACTTCGGGTCCGTCCATATGCAACAACCCTGCCCCTCTACGCTAAATGTTTGTACAAGTAAAAACCAGAAACCGTGTACACACCGGCTTCATCTCCAAAATGTAGCACCAAGAAAGAGCCCTTTCTTCCCTCCGCTGTGCTCGCAGGATGTACCTTTCTATTTACACTGCTGAGCAGCGGTTGCTCCGCCGCGTGAAACCCTAGAGTCGTGTTTTCACTGTCACCCTCCGCAGAAATTACAGTAAAATCATGTCTGGGTCCGCTGTCTAAATAAATATCCATTTGAGCGGGGGGGGGATAAGGGGGCTCGGTGTGGCTGATTGCAACGTAAACAGTGCGGTGAGGTGGATCTGTGATCGGACAAGCTCCCCTGTGGTTCTGCAGCGACCAGAGCTGGTCTCCTTAAGCCCCTCGGGTCGGGCCAGGTGCAATGTGAAACCCGGCCTATCTGTGGGAGTGATCGACATGTGGTATTCCTAGAATTTAGCATCATGCGGCCATATGAGCACATAGCGGGTGTGATTTCATGCATGGCCTCGGAGCAATCAAAGCAATGTACTGCGAAAGGTTTAATCATTTGTTTGGTAATAAATGATTAGTGAGAAGGCTTTTTACAATTCTTTCCCGGCCAAATTTGGGCCCCATTGGTCACCAGCTATGTGCATAAAGTAAATTATATTTAAAATTCTACAGCTTTTGGCTGAAACAGTGGTAGAAAATACCTCAACCCCTTTTTTTACACAGAAATCTCATCTTTTTGAGGTTGTAATGGTTTCTCCTCTTTGGGGATTTTCATTGCTATGGTGACTTAGAATCCATTAATCCTAAGCGGTGTACCCGGAGCTGGTCCCCGGCCAGAGCATTGGATGGTGCCAGCATGTTCGTTTGTGGTTATTGGGTGGATCTCAGAGGTGATGCAAGAGCGAGGCAGCAGTCTATGTTCTTAATTTGCTTTCTGTTCTGTTCCCTTCATTTCCCGTCGCCTCGTTCGGTTACGTCATTGAGGCGGAGTAACAACCACTTGATAATGATGTACGTTAGGAAGGGATCTGTGGTTTTATATTGTTGTTGTTGCTAAAGTCTATTAGTGGTTATTCTGTGGTCATTTGTTGACTTTGTTGTCCTATACTGCTAGTTGGAGACCATAAGCCTTTGAAATCTACTTAAAAGTTGCGCAATAAAGCCAGATAAGACTTATTATGGATTCCTGGGAAGTGGTCTTACAGGAGAAATGCGGGTCTATGTCCCATGACTTCACCATTCAGATCCTTTACTTAGACAAAAGTACCAACACCTCTGTGTGAAAGTACTTCACTACTATTACATTTCCTGGATTCAAAACCGCAGTATGAGAAGTAAAAGTACTCATTGTGCAGTAAAAGGTTCTCACACATAAGTGGAAATGTCCCCCTTTAGTTTATAACAAACATTGAGATGTCTGAAAACAAAGCTGTCAGATAAATATAGGGGAGTAAAAAATACTAAATCTGTCTCTGAGATTTAGTGCAGTAGAAATATATGAAGTTGAATGTATATATTTACATCCCACCACTGGCTTTAAAACCAAGTGTTTTAAAGTCTGCTGTGGTTTCTGTTCCTTGTAAAATGTTTGCTTCTGGACATCATCTTCCCCTGAACTATGACGGTACTTCCCAAAATGCCCAAATGAAAGATTTCTGCCAGAACGAATTCTAATTCTCCTTGATCTACTGTGGCTTGGATTCTAAGTCAATTCAGACCAAAGTGGCTGCCAATGCGGCCGTAAAATCAAATGCATAAATGTAATTTTAAATGAAGCAAGAGAAGTAATAAGCTAACTCATTTCCTCCATTTTATTTCCCTGTTAATTTCAGAATGAATGCTTTAAAATGGATGGATGGATGCATGGGTAGGTCTCCCCACATTTGATACCATTCATTGCCTATAAGGGCCTCAGGAAAAATGGGGGGGTGAGTTGGAGAAAAATAGATTGATAGTCGGGCCATTTCTTTCCGCTCAGTCTGTGTTTTTAAGGGCTCGAGATCTGGAACATGTTTCCCACACCTGCAGCCGCCTGCTCTTTTTTTCTTGTGTACACATACATGTGTTAAAGTAAACTCTCTGAATACTGTATTTATTTTCTCTTGCTACATACAGTATAATATGTCTTCCTCTTACCTACAAATACTGAAAGTTCGGTATAAATGCACCACGTAGTGGTCCCATTAACCCGTCACGTTCACGGAGCGGTTACTACTTTTCTTCACTTCCCATGAATTTCATGCTGAAATACCGCTGTCCGGGAATCAAGCGACTGGGTCGGCCCTTTTTGATTTCGACCACCCTCAAATAACAAAAACCCCACCGTGTCCCTGCAGTCCAGTCGTGGGACGAGACCTTGTGGAATACAGAACGATGAAAGCTTCCAGCTCCGTCTTTTCTGCAGCCAGAAACACACAGCTGTCCTGGCTGTGAATACCATGACCCCCCCCGTGCTGCACCGCGGCTCCACTAAACAACACATGTTGTGAAGTTAATGTGATTTTTGTGTTTTTAACCATTCGGTTGAAAAAGACACGCTGTTGCGTGAAAGTTCGACTCGCTGTGCGACTTCCTGCTATGGTTGAACCAGACATCTGTCTTCTACAGTTAAATAATGTGATCAGCCTGAGAAAAGGCTGGAACCTGGTCTGGCTTCCTCGGGACAATCCGACTGAAAGACAAAATCTATCTTCCGTCACCTCTTGACTGACGCCAGTTTTTTAATGTATATTTTATACCATTTTCCGATTATGGATTAAAGTATGACTGAATGTACGAAGGGAACTCTAAGAGTTTGTTTGCAGAAGTACGAAAGGATTTACAGGACAGAAATGACTGATTTTTTGATTTAATGTGATTTAGAAACTCATAACAAATGGCCTGACCAGAGAGCAATTCTTTATTGTTGTTTTCCTCATTCTTTATTTGGTGCAGATTTGGTGTTATTCATGTGGTGACGTATTCCATAAATGTGGTTGATTCTATTTGAATCACTGAATATCTGTTTTTCCATCATCAGTCTGGCTCAGTGGTTTGCATGTAGAAACCCACCAAATGACCCATAATAGACTCGTGGGACATTCTGATCCGAGTCTGCTCACAACGTCAAGAAGCTGTGATGCTAGAAACTCTGATAATAACACAAACGTTTATACATCTCCTGCTTCCAGTCATTTTCTAGTTGCAATTGACCATTTTGAGGTAAACATATAACACAAACTGGTAAATGTAGCATGTTTCTAACAAATGAATAATACAAATGTTGTTGTGCTTAGTGCAGTCACTGTAATGCAAATGTAGCATGAAAATTGTCCAAGCCGAGCCTTTATTTCCCGTAGAACTGGAACATATGAACAAATGACACCCGATCATAAATGCGTTCACTGGCTACACGCTAGCAAAATAACTTTCTCAAAGCAAAGTCTTGCCGTTGGTGTGTAAATCAGACAGAGGAGGGTGCTGTTTGATGAAATCTGTTTTCACTTGCCTCCACTATTTGAATTGTACAACTCCTATATTAGGCTGGATTTATTTCCATGTAAAGCTCATTGAAATGGCGCAATTCTTTGCTTCTTAAGCAACTGTGTTCGGAGAGAAATCTCTTTACTTCATTCAAACATAAACCTTTTTGTAGTTTTTCATTACTAATATAAGCTCTGTTTGTAGGCTGACCATTTCTCTCCCTGGCTTTCCAGAACCACGAGCACGGCTGCATCGCGTGTCGTATCATCTACCGCTCGGACGAGTTCCACCCGCCCATCCTGCCGCCGCGGGCCGACCTGACCGTGGGCCTGTACGGCCAGTGGGTGAGCCAGCGCTGCGAGGTCCGCCCCGAGGTGCTCTTCCTCACCCGTCACTTCGTCTTCCACGACAACAACCACACGTGGGAGGGACACTATTACCACTTCTCCGACCCCGTCTGCAGGCACCCCACCTTCACCATCTACGCCCGCGGGCGCTACAGCCGCGGGCTTCACTCCACCCGGGTCATGGGCGGGACGGAGTTCGTTTTCAAAGGTGACCCGCTTGATCATCACTTCAAATGTTAAATACCAAGTCTTTGAAGGGGCTAGATTTCAAGCTACTTCATTCAATCAGGGATAGAGAAAGAAGTAAAATGACAATAGAAGTAAAAACTATAAAACCTAAATAAGATGGAGGGGTGTGGTTTCTCTAACCGCAACATAATCTGCTACTTCTATTTCATGTTTTCAATTGTTGATTCAAATCTCGCGGTACGACTATTTCAAACGTGCACGTTTCTCACCTCGACCTCTTCCTTGTGAGCCTGTGTCACCTCACCAAGGAAGCAGGAAGGCCCCTGTTCACGTCTTCCATCTTGCGTCTCTCCTCCCCCAGTGAACCACATGAGAGTGACTCCCATGGACTTCACCACCACCTCCCTCCTCAACGTCTTCAACGGCAACGAGTGCGGCGTGCAGGGGTCCTGGCAGGTCGGGGTGGAGCAGGACGTGACCTTGACCGACGGCTGCGTGGCCCTGGGCATCCGGCTCCCCCACACGGAGTACGAGCTGTTCCGCATGGAGCAGGACGCCCGCGGCCGCTACCTGCTCTACAACGGCCAGCGGCCCAGCGACGGCTCCAGCCCCGACCGGCCGGAGAAGCGGGCCACCTCCTACCAGACGCCCCTGAAGCAGTGCTCGGCAAGCCAGCCCGACCCCAGCGGGGCGGGCGACGTCGACGGGGCCACGCCGCGTCGCAGCGGCTGCGCGGGGCGCCACGGGGGCGGCCGGCCACGCGCCGCGATGACTGCCGTTGCGTTGGGAACGTTGTTGCTCCTCAGCGGGCAAAGGTAGAAAGCAGCAAGGGCAGAGGGGGGGTGGTAGGGTGGGTGGCGCGACGTAGGACACGCCGACGTAGGACACGCCGACGTAGGACACGCCGACGTAGGACGCGCCTAGACAGAAAGGGTGGATCACAAGAGCGGACATTTAACTTTTTTTTTTTTACTTCTCTGATGTGAAGGAGGATGAAAACTGGGGCTCCTGATCCTTTGATTCTCCTTCCCAGCTACCAGAAGACTTGACACTGCTGCACCACAGAAACTTTTGCACTTTAGAGTGGAGCCAAAGACTAATCTGTCCCGTTTCCATGACTACACGAAGATGCCTATATATCCACACAGACTTGGATTGCTGTTTTCAGTGTATTTACCTGCAACTATGATGTGTAGAAATCAGCTCCCTGTCTGGAGGACTTGTGCTCGTGGAAAGTCACTGTTTACAGTGAAAAAGCTCCACACTACTTTTATAACAGGAATCTCTTTGAACATTTCAGTATAGAGAACTTGAGCGTAGTTTTCTATCTATTACGAATTAAGGGCATGTTAATTTGGATGATATTAAGGTAATAAACTTCCTTGCATTCAAAAGAGAGCTTTGTATTCAATGGCCAACGTGTGACCTTCTTCTAATGGGGCTATTTTGAAATAATCATGACTGGGCAATATGAAAATTCTATTAACTTTAAAAAAAATCAGCATTCTAAAATGTAGGAAAGCTCAATTGATTGTTCCACTGTTGTACACAAAATGTTTATCACATGTAAAAATGTGTTAATTTTAAATTATTGCATTACATTTCCTGTACCGGTCTGTAAAAGAATATTGAATTCAGCGTAATGTGCAATTCAAAGTTGTGACATGCTTTTTTTTTTTTTGGTTCATTGAATACATCCATATGTTATCGGTGTTATAGATCATACATAAACTATGTTCTATATAATTGCTTCAAAGCTAAGTTTGTAATAACAAATATAGAAGACTGAGGTAAACCAGGAAGTTAAGTATTTGGGGGGTTTTGTTTTTCATCTAATGGTTAAAATAACTACATTATGTTCTGATGTCCAGATCCTTGAAAGTGTTCCATTGGGGAATCAATAAAAAGATTTTGGAAATTTGCCAGATTTGAGAGTTGAATAAATTCCAAATGGCTTTTGTGCAACACACCATTGAGGCGTGTGCTAATTTGGTCGTGGAAAAAAATCATTTTACGACTTGTCCTTAATGCAGAATCCTGTTTACACTGAAGACCCTGTATTGGAGAGAATTTTTTTTTCTTGAAGATCTACAGAGATTCGACCACACGTCTGCAGTTCATAGCAGCCACTTAACACGTGTCCCCATCAAGGTTATACTTTGACGCAGAGCGGCAACATGACTTTCAACCAACATTCAGTTTCAGATACAACAGCTGGTCCTCTAATCATATAGTAAACCCAAATGTTGGGATTTTCCCACAGTGGCCCCGTCCTCCTGGGAGTGGGTATGAATCATACATTACGCTTTGATTATATGATTGCAGGTTTCACTTTTGGGGAAAATAATTGTGTAAAGCAGGTTCTGCATTTTAGCCATTGTGCTGAATTAAGTTTGAGGCCATATGATGATTGCAGATTTTACCATCCAGCACTATGTTCTGCCAAAGTAATTTGTCCCATTCTAAAGTTCAAGTTGCAAGATGAAACTTTAAACATTACAATTTATAAGGATCTCATTTATAACTAGAATGAAAAAGAAATCCAAATCCACTTTGATATCAAACAAAACTTCCCACTAGACTTTAGGCTCATAACAGAGCAGGTGTCTGAGGTGAAGCGTTAAAGATCTGCATATCTTAAACTAGTTACTGAAAGCCAAATATAAGTAGAAATGTTGAGCGTAACTGGAAACCAGTTAGGAACATACAAGTCCTAAAAAAGCATTAAATGGAAAACATGGCAAACAGACGCAATAAACTCATTTTATATCAAAAAATTCATATGTAAGGGTGCATCATTGAAGGAAAAGACCGCTATGAAAACCATATTTTTCTCATTTTTATTTCTTCAATGCTTAATACCATAGGACAGGATTTTAAGAATGAGACCTTATTTTAGTCAACATTTGCCTCAGAAGGAATATATGATTTGTATAATAATAATATTAATAATATAAAGTCTGCATTGGTGTTTTGAGGAAAAGGAAAAGACAGAAACAAACAAGGAGGCACCTATAATATCCCCAGCTGGACCTGAACATTCCAAGACAAGAAGTAGAAATTACAAACTGAACAAATTTACTTGAGGCGATCCAGCAACAGGTAGCAAGGGCTTTTTGATGGAAGTTCTTTCCTTTTGTGTTTAAAAGGATTTAAAACATTTACAAGACACCTAACATTCCATTCCTATTAAAAACAAACAGAGCAAAAAAAAAAAAGGATCTTTTAAACTACCTCTCGCCCATGGTTCACTCTAGCTGCATCTTCCATGTTGACTGATAGCATACAACTCTCATTGTCCCACCACATTACCTTATGATCCAGCCATTAAAAGAAAAGAAAAAAACAGAAAACAAAAAAAAGGAAACAATCACTTTTTTTGTCGCCTTTCTTTTGTCAACTCTGCACTAATAACCGCGTAAGATTGTAAAAAGGCAACGCCTTTGAATGATGCTGTACAGATGTGTTCACTGTAGGCCACACTACCAATGATATGGCAAAGTCAACACAAAGACTTCTTGGTTTTTTTCCAGGCCTGTTTTATTCCGGAGCCGGGGAGGTGGGGATGGGGGGAGGGAGGGGAGGGTACGACTGGCATGCATCTCCCAGTCTACAGGATGAACTTTCCTAGGAAGAACCCGATGAAGATGGCTGCTATGACGACGAGGAGGGAGGGCAGGGAGGCGGTGCTGGCTTCTCGGCCGAGCAGGGTAGTGGAGTTCGATGTCATGTGGTCTGAACGAGGCATCTTTCTCATTCTAATGCCATCATCCTGTGTCAGAGAGGGAGGGGGCGCAGCAGAAGACAGTCAACAAATCTGTACGATACAGCTCATTAAGAATTCCCTTACTACATATGTCTGATCAAAATGTCTAGTGGGATCAAAGCCTATGTTTCATCATGCCGTGAACAACATCCTCATCAACAACATCTGACCTTTATTTGCCGGTTCTCCTCAGCCAGCTTGTTCAGCTCAGCCTGCAGCCTCTTGCATTTCTCCAGCACTTTCTTCATCTCTGGATCGTCCGCTGAGGCGGACACGGACACCGCGGCTGCTGCAGAGTCGCCCTTTGCAAAGTTCATCACAGCCGCCGCTTTGGTCGCCTCGACGTCATTCTGCCCAACGAGAAGAGGGGGACAGAACCGCTGAAGTGAAATTCAGGCGAGGAAGTTACCCTGTTGACGTGTACCAACGCTACACTGGCGCTAATGTCGGAGTTTGGGTTAAATGATAATCTGTTTCTTTATCTGCTTTTGTGGACGATAGACCAGAGACCGTGCCTTTATAAAACTGGCAAGATTCTCATTTGAACAGCAACTAGATGATCAAAACTACTTAAACAAACTTAGAAATCTGACATGTGATGTTTCAAAAACAAGTTAAAAAGCCTGCATATTGACATAATTTGTGCTCACTTTAAGCCATTTTGGTTCTCATAACTTCATTGAGGAAAATATGTGGTTGACAGAATGAGGGATTATTTTGGTTCTTTATTTTTTTTTTTACACAAGAAGTCTGAGACTTCTTGGTATGCAGGAACTTTCTATTAATTGTTACAGCTAATCAGCTTTGTTGGTTTATATAAAAAAACGTTTACACCTCAAACTACGTCGCCATCCTACAAATCTACACAACCAACGTGCAACACGTGTTGACTCAGTCCACAGCCGCACGCCGCTGAGCCTCTTAATGTAAGCTAAATTAGGCCTTTTCACCTGAGCTGTGCCGCCCTGCTGAGCTGTCCAGCCGCATTGCATGAGCAGACCTGATTATGCCGAAAGCTCAATAATAAAAGGCTCCCAGTGTTCAGTCACCTGAACAATATTACTCTCTACTTCTCTGAGGAGCAGTCTTCCCATCAGTGTTCACCACGTTGTTAATTTACTTAACTTTTCGGTATCTCCTCTATGTCGGTTTCTGCCTGAAACTATTTTGACACTTTAACAGGCTGGAACAACCACGACAGTGGTGCACGGCGACCGGCTTTAGTTTGGCCAAACGGTGAAAGTAGATCGCCGGCTCAACAGCACCATCCTAGAGTTTGCCTCAGTATAATAAATAAAAATATAAAATGAAAACACTCAAGTGCCTCAGACTTTGACTTATGCAAAGTGCTCGTGGCCTAAATGTACCAAGTTACATTCCAGCACTGCTTAAGCAGAAAAGGTTCTCTCTGGATGTGACGTCTGACATAGCAGGACACAATCAAGTATCTTAGGTGAAGTTTGGGAAAGAAACTGTAAATAGTATATTGAGCGTAAAGTAAGGTGTTGATATTTTGCAGTTCATTCAAGAACACTAATTTTGCCGGGTCGTCATTAGTTAGAAGAAACGCTGGTGTGGAAATGTTGTATTTATTTAACTGCAAATAAAATGTTAACAGATTCACAGCTATAATGTTACTGATAACTTCATAGTAGCGTTGCCGATATACAAATACTAGAAAGGAATCACAGTAATTATTGTAATATATTAATACATTTGACGTTCTCAATTCATCAATTAAATGATGTGTAAATAGGTCGTTTTACAATGTGAGGCTGCATCTCTTACCACTTTATCGTTTTCTGAAGGCAGCTCAAAGACACATCTCAGCTTGGAATCCATGAGGTCATCGGGTTTTGCATCTTTCCACTGGTGGAGATGAAAAATGGGCATGTTATTCATCAACTCAAGCTGCTAACCGCTGGAATCCACACACACACACACACACACACACACAAAAAAAACCCCATCAATAACACCCCTCCCCCCTGTCCAAATGTTCACAAATGTACAGTTTTCCACTTGATCAAGGTGCGTCCTTGATCCGTCCCCTGGACGCTCCTGGACTCGGACATTGGTTTTACACTGACAAAAAGGGGTTTGGCATTAAAATGCAGAGAATACATTTAATCAAATTACTTCAATCAGCCAAATTCAAGGAAATTCAGAAATAATCCTTCATAAGTTAAAGTTGAAACATTTTGGAATATGTTTACCTGATAAAGCAAACACTTTAACAGATGGCAGTTTACTTATGAAGAGCAGAGAGGAGCTTTGTTCCTGTGTACTCGATACTGGATCCTGCTTCTCATTCATGACAAGTCAGTTCATGAACATGACTTCATGGTATGTGATCGTTCTGCTGACCATGTGCTTTTGCTGTCCTCTAGTGGACAACAGAGCGCATCTCCAATTGTTTGGGCCTTATCCAAGTAGACGTTTACATATAAACTCAACAAAATGTAATTTAAAAAAAAAAAACATTTAAAAATGATTCCTTTTTGCATTTTTATTTTCTTCAACTGTCCTTCCCTGTAGAATATCTGCCGATGCTAAAGTGTCTTATCATGGAAGCCATGAAATCTGTAATCTGTATTAATCTTAAGCAACGGCTCTCGTAGATATGCCAGAGTCGGGAACCAAAACACCTTTGTCTTCATGGAGAGTAAAAATCCAGTTGCATATAATTTGACTTAATCTAATAAAAAAGTTGCGACTGCTTTGGTTGATTATTTTGAGGGGGGCTGTATAGTAAAAGTTTGTATTTTACAGAGTAACAAGCATTGAGTTTGTGTCAAGCTTCAACACACCTGATCACTCAAGGTGTCTTCTGTTTAAACAACATCTTCTTTAATGAAAAGGCAAATAAAAATCACTCACCAATGCATCCATGTCAGAAACGTGTGACGGGGCAAAAATCGTCTGCACCATGAATTTGTGTTTACTTTTCTCGTTTGGGTCATAATCAAAGGGTTGTAGCATGACTGTAAACGAAAGAGGAACATTGTTAAAACGTTTAATAAAACATCTCTTTACAGAAAAATGTATGCGCACAAGAAATTATTAAATGTGTGTTAACTGCGAAAAGTTATCTACCGGAAGAACAAATATTTTAATTTGCATAATATATATAGTGCTGCAGGGGTCTTTTTGTAGGGTCGACCTGGAAATTTGCATCTTACTGGTTTCATCAACAGCATGTCAAGGGGATTTTTTGCCATTGGAATTTGGATTATTGGCCTGCGTCAAGTTAGCACCAGTTTTTGTTTGTTTTTTTAGCTTAAATGCAAATCGCCAGAGGTAAAAAGCGAACATTAAGCTATAACAAAAGCACAGCACATTCAGGTTACTTCACCACAAAGATCGGGCTGGATCTGTGTGAAACGGATGTTCTTCATCCATTAGTGGTGTAATTGCAACGACTGCATTTTGCGCATCCCAAGTTACCTTGGTGTTAGGGTGCTTTGGTGGGTGGATGTGTACATGGTTGTCTCCATTGGAGCTCGACAGAACAATAGAAAATGGGGACAGTAGGTCACCTCACACAGTGATTATTACGGGGATGAAAAAGGTGCGAAAGAGGCAAACCCTGCAGTGGGTACAGAGTGTTAACTTTATTTATACAGAAGGTCATTTCTTCCACACAATCTTGATTTTATCTCATATGCTTTGTATTTTAATTCATTCAGTTCAGCAATTTCTATGGGCGACGGCTAGATTGATGAGTCGCTGAAGACCTTTTCTCTTAAAAGAATAGAAAAGGGTGAAACAAAAACTTTGTTTTTAACACTCAACATGTTTGCACTTAAAATAGCAGAGGTTGAAAATGACTTGTCGCCTGTAGCAGAAGTTCAACACCTGAACTCAGATGATTTTAGTATCAGTGCTTCCTCTAAACACTGATGTTTAAAACCACGGAAACATAATGTATATAACAGATCCTGCAACCGCAGTAAAAAAACAAAAAACAGAATTGTAAAAAAATAATGTATATGCAACCTCGAGATGAATTATCATGTGACCCTTTAAACCGGTCATGTCCTACATACAAATGACACAACTTCCGCTTTCCTTCATGCTCTAAGGCCAGCAGATCGAAACCTTGGGTTAAATCTAGAGATCTGTGGTGTGCGTGACCTTTTCAACTTTGTTTTAGCACCACACACAAATACTGGTAATTGGCATCCTCTCAAAATATCCCCAAAAAAACTGATTCGATAAAGAAAGATCTAATCACCCTCCTGCTCCTTTTTTTTTTAAATAGTTAATTCTATCATCTCCTAACCAATTTGAAGATGATGTATATTTTTAGCAATTTAATTTAATGTGTTAACAGTAACTCTCTAATGTCCTTGTCCAACATCCAAAACTGAAATGCTAAACACACAACAATCTCCCGTATAGACGGCGAGGGTATGTCTGGTACCGCTGGATCTATGTGACCATTATCAGCAGGCGGTCAGCTAAATCAACATGGCAACGTTTGGATATTCCAATAACTCAAATGACCTTTAATTAACACAAATCTGCGTGCTTTTCTGTAACTATGGACCTTACGGTATGAGTTTTTCTTGTACCGCCATACTAGTTTATAGCCGTACCGACTGAATTTATTTTTACACCTTACCGCCGTGTATAGAGATCGAGTTATGGTTATAACATTTCACAACAACAAATTACCCACAACAAACTCTTTAACAGGGTAAAAACGCTACAGTTTGCGACAAAGAATTTTTAATACTAATAATTTATAAAATTACGCCCGCCAGACTGTATGCTGGGTAAAGCTCGCCCGCTATCACAAGATGCACCAACACAGCTGTTCAGGTGGGGTTTACTTGAAGCGAAATAATACCAAGAAATACCGGAACACCCTCAGAATCTTACAAAGTACTGTGATATTAATTTTTGGCCACACCCCCACGCCAGAGTACCTACACGACATTACATACTGAAATAGACTTTAAAAAAGGACTTGATTGGGTAAAACAGCTTCCAAAAATCATAGCTAGCAACTTTGAAGCTTCATTTGTGGCCATGTTGACCTGTGACCAAATTGCACAATAGCTCCGGGGCTTGCATTGTGTTCCAAAGTGCATTTGTCTTTTACTTCGCCCTTGCAAAGTATGTACGGTTTGTATGCAGAATAGTTTGTGAGAAACCACTTAGTCATAGATTTGCACCTTGAGCTTTGACTCGCTTGCTCAAAGATCCTCTGGGCAGAGCACCATGCGGCTGATTGCACTGGTTTATGTTGGTATGTATTGGGAATTTGGACTAACTTTTTTACTTCTGGCGATTACATTCAGCCTCAAAAAAACAAGGTGGTGTTTGTTTGGATCGTCTTGAACAAACTTTGTAGGCGTCATGCTTATTTTCTGCAAAAATCCTAAATGCAGCGGAAAATAACTAATTGCATTGGCTTGTTGTTAATGGAGCGAATGCTATGCTAGCTTCCTGGTCGCCATACAAAAACACATCGTCCTAGGTGCACTTTATTAAAAACACCATTTTTGGGAGATAATGAAATGTCACGTGACTGAATTATAAAAGGAATAGACTTATAAAAATACTTACCAGAGATAACTACAGTTGCTCCGGGATCGATGACCCCGCTGTTGGGCCGTACACAGTATCTGCGCGGCGCAGTTGTCTTCACTTTGAAACACACTTTTTTGTCAGAAGGGTTCCTCAGTTTGAGGCTGGTGGTGACTACATCTGTGAAAGGACCTGATGGACGAAGAATAAAAAACAACAACAAGTGCATTATTATTATTATGTGTAACTTCTCAGTGTTTTCTAGGGTACACTCTTCTCCTGTTGGCATTCCACGCCTGAAAATGGAAAATATTCTTATGAAAACCTTCAAGAAAGTACCGGTGCTGCAGTAAATTGCAATGCAGACAGAAATTCTCAGGGTCTTTGGAATGGCGGGTAAATATGTTGCATGTTTACAGTGAAACTGCAGAAATTGATTAATTCAATATGTCAAGTCATATGTCATACCTCAAAGGCAGATAAGGCAACACTGTTTGGGGCCACGGCATTTTAGAAAGATCAGTCGAAAAGTACTCCAGGGTTGCAACTCAATTTGGACTACACGATTAGGAGGGCTAACTGAATAGTGATGTGTTGTTACCGTAATATTGTTAACATAATAGTTACACCTTTAAAAACAATGGGTATGAACAAAGCACACTAGCCAGAACTGAACTCATTAATATTTATAAAAACTACAATGTAAAATAATTGATGAACTATGGGGTCCTGATGAAAGCTTATCATGAGACATGCACGAAGACCAGGAGCACCAAGAAAAGGTAAACAGGTCATCAGGAGGATCAATAGTTAGCTCTCCATCTTGTGACAGAGCTCGCTTCGAATTAGGTCCTTAACCGCAGTCAGCAGCATCCACCTTTGATACAGCAAAATTAGCCTCAGAGTTTTCCCTGCATTGAAGATAATAAACAGCAAAACTATAGATGTCAACAACTGTACATAAATCCACCAGCATGGTGGAATACTGTAAACTATACTGTAAAATAAAGTAGTAAGTGTAAAGAGGCAAATAAAAGAACTGGCTTTGTTAATAATAATCTGTTGATCTCCTTTGTTTTTCCTTTTGTTATCGAGCTTTGCATAGATAATATATTATGGGATATAGTTTTTATAAAAGTATATTTGTGGTCATATTTTCAATCTCAAACATAATTCAACCATGTAATTGTATATGCTGCATAAGTTCACTTATGGAACAAATATAACTAACATTACTTGTACCCTAACCTAGGGGAATAATCAAAAAAAGGGTCAATATGACTTCAGACATTAGGCATTGTTTTAATTCGTAAAAAATGTCCACAGGGGAGAAAAAAAAGATTAATATTCTTTCATAATATGTACATTTTACAGTAGGGTTACTCAGGAGTTAACAAAGCCTTCATTCAGCCTTTGCTCGCCCCCAGTGTTCACAGAGATAAGAGGCAATGCATGACCAGGATGGAGTGGCTCAACCCAGCGGGTACGGTTATAGTAATGACTGAGGCGTTGTTTTCATCACAGGTGCGTCACAAAGGCATTCAGGAGAAACCAGAAAAACCAATCCCTGCTCTTAACATCTTAGTTTTTCCTGTATAATTGTTTTCAAACAAGAGGCTAATCACATGACATGTTACTTTGACCATCCCAGGTTATTGTAACACAGCTGGTTAGTGTTAACACTAGATGGCTTCAAAACACCCAAACAAAATCAGTGTAAAGTAAATGTTCCCCCAAGTAACAAGTAAATGTTACTTGGGGGAACGTCAAAAAAGGTAGACTACCAGTCCAAAGTTTGGACACCTTCTCCCTCATCTTGAGAGAGAAGGTTGCCAAGAAAAATATTTAAAAAAAAATTATTAAATCATTTTATGTCACAAGAAATAAAAACATGCCGACGAGTTTTCCTTTTGCAGGAAGAATTTAAGGCCAATCTCTGTCCTATATGTATACCAAATTCACGCTTTAATTGACCTATTACATATTGACATACCTTTTTCCAATCGCCTGAGATTATCAATGCTATGCTACAAGTGGATCTTGGGACCCCACGTAACTGCGTACCCTTCTCAGTCATGGTAACAACGTACGCAACAATATATAACACACGACTAACAGCATTTTGGGTAACAAAGGCCACCCTGCAGCATAATCCGTTTACAGCAGGAGAGGCTCCGTCGCTACGCCGCGATCAGTAACTGAAACGAGAGATGTACGATGGGGAGAAAGAGACCGGAGATGCTTTGCCTGTTACAGTCAGTCATCTTCTCGCTACCGGTGCTATAACCAACAGAATCTGTCACCTCTGCACAAACCACGATGACTACCAAGAGTGGGATTATGGTTGTTGGGTGCGTGGCCGTCAGTAGCCCCAGTGAAACATCATAAGGGTCCCTCTCTTGTAGAGGAATTTCCTGATGGCGTATGACGGGAGAGTGAGCGGCAGCATTAAACCCATGACAAACCAACAACCCAAGTTAATATGAACAACTGAAACGAAAAGGTTATTTTTAAATGAATCCTCAAAAACACTTGATCGGTCTTGACAGAGCAAAAATAGCCAACATATATCATATATAACACCGCCTAAGTTTGTTCATAATAAATGGTTCACATTCTGCAATGGTCTGGTGCATACGGATTTCTTCATGCATTTTATTATTATTATTGTGTGGCCAAAGAAACATTTAACATTACATTCTTTACCATATAAAATGAGGATATTACATATATTTGTATATTCCTTTGAGAGCTTGTCTGTAGAACAAGCTTTGATAAACCTATACGTAGGCTCAGTCATGAAAAAACTAACAAAATAATGTGATAATGTGTGAGACCATGAGCTTAATACTGTGATGCGGTTTCACTCGGCAGAGGACTAGGTGTAGGTATTACTATCAGTACTGAAAAAAGGGTCATACAGGAAAGCAGTTGTGCCCATCAGATATACACCCACATAGCCCACCTCCATTGCTTAACTCTGACATGATGCCACCTTTTCTCAAGCAGCGTTGCATGTATGCTGAGGTAGGGTCCCCCAGGCCAGTCATCTTCTAAAAATACCAGCCAAGGAAAGGAGGGCTGCCCCATCTAGCTTGCTGGAGGAATCCCAGCTGAGCCTCTAAAGCAGAGTAACTCACAGATACCTGCAGACTAAATTAGCACAGCCTCTCTGACAGTAAAGGAGCGTCCGTCAACTTCCTTCTCCTCACATTGTTTATTAAAAAAAGGGCCAAATAGGAACCTTATATATTTTCCTGTCATATTTCACGGTCAATGTGGTGGTTTCAGATCAACTTGACCATCTAAAATTTCATTTAAAACCAATAGTCTGGGTCGAAGTGCATAAACAATACGCATAACACACTGTATTCAGATGGAAGTCTGCATGAACAAGGGTTGAAGAGGACGAGTCAAATTGCACCAAAAAAAAAAAAAGCATTTAAGTCAGCATGGTAGTTATCCTCATTCTAAGCGGAAATATAGAAATACATATATCCTCAATAATGTCATATTTGCCATAACTTTGTATTCAGCTTCACAGTCATTCCAGAAAACAGAGGTTAAAAGTTGAACTATCTATGGAACCGGTGTGACTAATCAGAACAAACCCTACTGTAGATAAGCAACCCGACTCAGACAAAAGCAGGAGATAAACTCTGTAAATCAGATTTCCACTGACCACGTCTCCAACATCTGACGAAATTAAATGTACATTTAGAGCAAACTTGAAAAAAAAAAAAAAACCTTAATTCAATTTATAGGTTTAGATCTTGAGCGAGCTTTTTCAAACTGGTATCTTTTCAAACTGAGCTGATCAGCGCAGCCGGACGGCTACTCTCAGCTATTTCATTACTTCACAGAACAAGTTGCCTGTCAAAGTGGCATCCACCTGTTGCACAAAATTAATAAAAGTTTGATTAGGCGATCAGTTGGTTTAACGTTAATGCTGCAGTTTCTTTTCAAGTAACCAGTTTTAGACTTCAGACAAGGTGTGTTTATCCTAATCGGCATCCCTTTGTAATTTCCTTGACTACGGCTCTATTCACAACCACAGGTGCTGCACCTGATAAAACAGCAACAGATCTACCAGTGGCCAACAAAAAAAAGGGATACTTCCTGATTTAATAAAGTACAGCGAATCATTACGAGCTGTGGGGATCAACATAAGGCTTTCTTGCATCCGCTCAGCCGGTGGGATCATCATCAGGTGTACGCTTCACAATGTAAATAGAGCAGTTCCACGTAGGACACATCGTGAAGAACCACCTGTGACTTTCCCCTACCGAGTAGCCAGTATCCTGTGGGTCTGATATTTGAAGTGGTGACCTGCCCAACAAATCCTGGTTCTAAGAAAGAGCTCCATTCAGTGACAACAGAAACACACGGACCCTCATGACTGAGAGGGATTTTGTCTACTGGGACAAAAAAAACAAGTGAGAAGGCCTCCTGGTCCTCCCCTTGGCAGACTATCTAAACTAAAAATGACACAATGTTACGTTAAATTAGCACCGTTAGCGGTTATCTCGATCCCTTCTAAATGGTCCCTGCATTGCAAGAGACAACAAATGTCCAACACCCGGTCTCTCTGGAGCTATGGGAGAGGTAGGTGTAAAAACGGACAAAACAATGCAGTCTGTTGTTAGGGGAACAGCCAAGAATGTATGTAGCTCGCTAGCTAGCTATCAACTTTTTTTTTATTAGCAAGCTGCCTTGGACTCCATTAGCCAACGGTTAACTGACACATCATTGAACGTTATCAACGGCAGGCAAGAAATCAGTGGTCCTCTAACGTGTGGATTACTTTGGTTTCCCAGGAATGAGCTGGGACAACACCAATGCCCCCCGGGACATTTAGTGAACATGTAAATGTTAATTTAAATGGAACTGACGCGAGCTAACGCAAAACGTTGCTGAGGCTGTCTGTCTGGTTGTTAACCGCAGTTAACGTTAGCCAAGTTTGTCATTCAAACGGCCAGTTAACGTTAGTTAAACAGCTTAATACAACAAAGTGACTCGCGAGGTGTGTCCGGTTGGAGTATTTCACGTGTCACAAAAAGTTATTTTCCCCTTCCATTACGTCCGGGTTTGGAGTTGTAAGCTTCCCGGTGAATAGGCTGAGCCCATATTAAAACAACCGTTGGCTGTTGCTAGCACCACTAGCGACACCGTAATATTAGGAACAAACGTTAGCCCCGTGCGGCTACTAAAAAGACTGACACGGTGCGTTGTGTGCTCGCGTCCATTCCGTTTAACAACCAGTGGACGTTGCCCTCCGTCCTTTTCTCCTCTTTGCTGGGTGTTGTCAGTTAACGTCTGCTGGTCATACATATGCTATCGGTCAAAGAGACACGCCACGCCGGGCTATCCACGTCACTACAGCGCGAGGATGCAGCGGCCCGTCTAGTCCCTGGCTAACTTAAAATGGCGGTGAACGCTAGCTAGTTCGCTAGCAACGAAATTCGCTTGAAGGAGTGTGAATTCGTTTCAGTCAGGTATTTCTCCACCACCACTCACTTGACATTTGACACGTCAAGAGACGTTGAGTTTCCTACCTTTGAATTTGAGGTCGCAGGGAGGGTCAAGGACGAGGATCTGATCCAACTTTGACATTTTAGCTGTAGGGATGCACTTGATTTCGCTCTCAGGGAATAACTGACAAGTGGAAATCCTAGATCCCCTGCCACTACTGAGTCAAATGCTGACTGAGCTCTGTGAACGAGCATGTGGCTACAAAAACTTGAACGCGCGAGAGCACAACCCTGTTGCGCGCCCTCGTGGCTCAGCAACCGAACTGTGATTATGGCACATTTATCTAGTCATACTGCGGGTAAAATAAATACTAACATGTCTCCATAGATGAAAGCCGATATATATATATATGGAAATATATAATATATATATAGATATTAGAGAGAATATGTTGGATAATATTTTGTTTTTATTTACATAAATACATAACATTAGAAAAATGAATCAGTGTGATTTTATTTCTCATTGTAGTCCTGAAAATACTTAATACTTAAACAACCACATTGTAAAAATATGTATAATGTATAAATAAAGTTTATATTTTAACTTCAATTTTATACTTTTTCATCATTCCTTAAATTTAGTATTATTTAATACGATACGATATAATAAATAAATAAACTAAGATGCAATGAGCAGCATACTCTACAGTTACATAAACAACACAAACACTGTTTCTAAATGATTATGAGTATACATTTGACATTACAGTACTACAGCCACAATCTACTGATGCTAATATATCTGTGATAAACTAATATCAGCCTGTTAATTAACCAGTCAGGCTTTACTTGTTAATCTTTTTTAAACATTAGTGTTTCTTTCTTCAAAACTTATAGAAAATACAGTAGATTTATTTACCGAAAATGACATTGCCAAAATGTTGTCCATTCAGCTTCTTGAAGTGACAATCTGGCTCAGATAAGTACCAAGTTCCCATGATGTCAGGAGGCTCATTCATATCGTGACATTTTATTAGAGTCCCTTTTTCTCTCATTCATCATTCTGGTCTCCATTAACAAACGTTGTACTTTATTAAACTGATTAATATGCAAAAGATCATTGGGTTTACAGAGAATACAGGGGAGCATGATTTAGACATACAATGTAGGGATGGCTGCAGATAATGTTGACCGCTTTTTATACAATTAGTCTGTGCTGATTTAGTTTAGTAATTCATGAATTACTCTAAGAATATCCCCTTTTAACATACATTTGTTTAGAAAAACAAAATGCACGTGTCGGACGACAATTACACGGCTTAAAACTCAGCATAATGTTAAAATGTATGTAAAAAAATGGAATTATCTGTAGTTTGGAGGTAATGTCATGAATAACTGATGGGAAACAGCAGCGTGATTTAATGAAACGCTTATCAGTCAGTCGGTAAATGTGATAAGACTGTACGTCTGGTCCACAAAGCCGCTCCTAAATTGACGTCTGAAGTCTGTTTCAACTTTACATTGAAGCCAATTACTGCATTACATTTAAGTGAAAGCAAGGCCACACTAATTGATGGATTTCCGAAAGGGGTTTGGTGTTGTTTCCCATTAAAGAGAATGGTACATATTGTACAATACCGTACAGTTGTACAATGCGTGTTAAAAACTCTGTTATTCCGTCATACATGATGGCAATATGTTGTTTTTTAAGCTATGATGAGTAAGCTATGAGTATGAGTTATGATGACCTTAAATACTGTCACATAGGAAATGTTGATGTATCTAATTCAAATTTCATGACCATTTACAAAAGGCTGTTAGGCTGTTAAACAATTTTAACACAAAAAAAATGTAAACCCATGACGGGAAAAAGAAATATACTTTGCACAAGGTAATTCCCTGTAGTGAAATTTAAGACAACACATTTCAGCATGTAGGTTAAAACTTTAACACATCACCATGTAAACAATTCTAGTATTGGTCACAGCGTTTTAACAGGGGGTGTCTTTCCTTAATTACAAATTAGGCCTCTGTGGTGTTCATTCTGCAGCATTATAGTTAAACCCTCAACAGTCAATATGTGTGAAAACACACAACGCGTGGAATGTTTGTCCAACGTTTGATCACGACAAACCAAAGTTAGTATATTCTAATTCAATACAGACATTTAAACAAAAGCTCCATGAGAAGAAACGTAAAGCCTTGATAAAAAAAAAAAAGTTGAACTTTAGAAAAACTCTCATTTAATGAGTGCCATTTGAGAGCCACAGTGCTTGCAAACCTACAGAGCAGAGGACTATTGAAATGAACATTTTGTTGTATAAACAGCCAAAATCTGCAGAAAAAAGGACATCAGCTCGATCGCTTGTTCTTTTTGCGGGTTTAATAATGATCCGTGCACTACACCATGCGGGTAGAAATCTTTATGTAATGCAGGCAAAACACCACCTGAGGGGGACAAACTTAAGGCCCTCTGATTCCAGACCTCATCAGAGTTGAAATCAAATGAAATAAATAAAGTAATGTGACCGATAAAGTAATGTTTTAAAGTAATGTTTCATCTTGTGGCTGACCACAGGTACAAGCTGACCTCCGGCTGTCCACGGTCTTGTCTCGTCTTTCCCAGCAGTAAGACACTGTGTGCATTGTGGACTAGGTACTAGGTGAGTAATCTCATCAGCTTCTGTTGGTACTAGCAGCATCTCCTGGAGGACGCGGCGGGCTGCCGGGTGAGTTTAAAGGAATCGTTGCTGTCCACCTCGGGGTTCTCCAGGGGCGGGATCTGTTTACCTAAACACACAGCACACGCTCGTTTACGGATTTACCGCGGCAGGTGGAAATATTTTAAACTGTACAAAGTTAAAGTTAATCGTTACACCCGTGACGGATTTGCCGGTGCATCTTGGTAATTTAACCCGTACCAGAAGCCTCAGAACCAAACATGATTTATTTTCTTAATACAGAACATACTGTAAAAACAAAACATGCCAATTTAAGAAGATATATTCAAAAATCCGTATATTAAGAAATAGTTAGAAATCTACCATTTTTGTTGTCATTATAAATTAAAAGTTTTGCTCCATATTATGGGAAGGTATATTCAAGAATAATAACTAAACAACATATTGAAAGGCTTGTCTAATAGTTACTGTACGTGTATAAAGACTGACATGACATGAAGTTAAGACATGATACCTACTGATTTTCTGAAAGAGCTCCTCAACATTGACCGCATTTCTTGCACTAGTCTCGATGAAAATAGCTGCAATTGATTCGGCAAATTCCTTAGCTTCCTTCATGGGAACTTCCCTGTAAATGAGAAGTACACTAAAGTAGGCATGGAAGTAGGTTCACAGATGTCACATGGAGTAGTTGGAATAGATGAGTTTTTCATCAAATACATTCCCTTCTCTTAGATCAGCGTTGTTTCCCCACAGAGAGCAAACACAGGGGGAAGAAAAGGTCTAAACTGAAAGTTGTGTACAAAACCATGAGCGGCAGCACAGGTGTAAGAAGACGCACGCATCATGAGTTGTGCGTGTTCACTAAACCGGTCAGTTTGCTGTGCACAACGTTCATAAAAGGAGGCAATGCATCGAGACAGGATTCATTACTGACACTGTGAATCTATGGGGGTATTTAATAACGTTTACTACTAAATGTGTATTCTTGTTTCCAGTAGCCAGTGTCACTGCAACTTCATTTTTATCACCGCAATGGCAATGAAAATCAGCTTCTTTCCAGCTGTGACAGTCAAAGGAAAGAAGTCTTTGCCCACCTGATGTCTCCTAAATCATTCTTGTTCCCTGCTATGGCGACAACGATGTCCTCGGGTCCGTGTTCTTTCAGCTCCTTCACCCACTTCTTCAGTGTCTGGAAAGAGTCCTGAACAAGAAGAGCAGCTTTGGGATCGGTTCTTCGTGAGAATATGTCAGGTTTTTTAACAACGCGTGTCACATATTAACTGTATTAAGACGCCGTTTGTTATTACGAGTTTCCATGAACACACCAGGAAAGAGTGACATATTTAGGGGCGTCATAGAGTGATGGAAAAGGGATCCAACTTTACATCAGGCTCTAATAAAATGGGTATGGATATAATGCAAAACCACAACTTCTGCAAAAAGGATTAATAGTTATTCCATATTGTTGCGCTGATCGCGTCCTCTGGTCTGTCAATGCGACCACTCAACCAAAGTTGAATTAAATGTCACTTCTTTGATAGAAAAGATAGAAAGCGCCCCGTTATTCTTACCAGTTTAGTGATGTCGTAGACGATGACAGCAGCAGCCGATCCTCTGTAGTACATAGGAGCTAACGAGTGAAACTGAAAAAAAAAAACATGTTACTGGGAGCACGATCACTCGCTAATCATACGGACAGGTAATCTGTGTACAAGCGTTAAAAGATTTAAACTAGCAAAAACTCAATTGTGGCAAGGCATTAGTTAACGGATCGGTATCGACCTATCCGATCCTTCGTTTTACGTCAGCTGTCACACTAGTGTTAGTGATTTCATGCAGAGTTTCTTTATGTCATTCAACTAATTTAGGGGCCCTCGTTTCATTTAAGCTCAGTGTGACTGTATCTCGCTTTTTGCTACCATCTATGATGCATGATTGTAGGTGTAGAGGCCAACAATCACACTGAACCTGCCCGTCCGTGCCCTGATGAAGAGTAGATTTATGAAGCCCAACCACAGAGTTGATGAAGATTCTACAGAATACGGTTACTTCAGGAAAAGACTGATACAAATTAACAAACACTTAAGGGAATTTCCTCGAGACAGTGACGTGGCACATGAAGGTAAAAGGGTTCATTTTCTTGCAAACAAGCATTAAAGAAATAAGGCATATATTTTGTCATACAACACAGAGATTATTAATTGTCAAGCAGTTTATGGGTTTTAATAAGCTTAATCGGATCAGGATTGGAGGCAAAAATGTAAACTGAACACCACCTTAAATCTGAAACTGAACAGTGAAAATGAACCCCAAAAAGACTAAAGAAGTTTCAACTCCTGTTACGTCACTATGAAAAGCTACTTCAGTTTTAAGGAGAATCTTCTAAAAGAGATCCGTTTTCCACGAAAACACCAAACGTTACACCCAAATCCAACACGCATGTTGTTAAGGCCCGAACAAACATGTTGAATGCATCTAGTTCCCCAAAGAAAGAAAGAAAGAACATGAAGGCCTTCATGTTACAGCACAGGTCCACTACCAACTCCATTACCACCAGTCAGCACAACTGTGTACCACATCCCCCTGTGCACATGAAGGTATGTGCAACGCAAACCACAAACGGGCCCACTCAGGAAAAAAAGTAGTTCTTAAGCTCCACCAGTGGTCAAAGAGTGTTTGTACTGCCTGCTGCCGGTGGGACGATAACAAAAGTTCAATGCTCTGACATGATTTTCTTAACAAACAAAAATACACGCTTGTTAGTTATATATTCATATTTTTTACCTGTATGTTTTGGTGTTGTTTACTAAATAAAATCATGAACAAGTGTGATATGTCTAACAGGTAAAGACACCAGTAAGTCCTGGGAAAGAAGTTTAAAAGGAATCATTTTCACACACACAAAAAAAAAAAAAAGTACTTGCACTTGCTTTTTTTTACCCCCCCCAATACTGTCAGCACGTCCGGTCGGCTTGAACTAACGCCACTGGCATCAAATGAACCAAATATAAAATGAATCAGCGTGATGATACCAGTCTTGTGACCTTTGGACTTCATGTGCATCATCCCAATTCATACACCTAATAATAACTGTGTGTGTGAGGACGTTTGACATGATTGCGTCACGGCGAGCTTCCTGATGCAGCGGACGCTGTGGGTTCACTCACCCTCTCCTGACCGGCTGTATCCCAGATCAGAAATTTGTGAAGTTCATGTCCAGACGGCACAGTTTTGGTTAGGAATGATGCTCTGTGGGTGATAAAGAGCATTTCACAACGACGCTTGTAAGCGTGTTCTTTAAAAAATGCACAGGAAGTGAATCAGTACAAGTCTGGAGAGAAACAAATGACACACAGAATAAAGACCTAAAAGCACTAATGCAAGTCTCCTTATAGTGAGCTGACCCATTAAAGAATATGCATAAACCATCAATTGTTATGGGGCTGAGGCATATTCTACTTTCTATATTTATTTTGTGATATCTATGATCTTGATATTCAGATATTCAGTATCAACAAGTCATCTACCTAACCATTATTATGAAAGATTTGACTTAAAATAAAATCACATTTATTGTGACACCTCACAATCGTGAAACTGAGAGAAGACTTGATTTTCACATCAAATTACGGACTTAATTTGGAAGAACATCAAATGAGTATCAAGGACAGCGTTGTCATGTTTATTTCTCTCTTGCTGCCCTTCTTTTGGGGTTTGTACTGCTACGCTCTTACCCTATTGTGGGACTTATGTTGTGATCGAAATGATCCTGAACGAATCGGCAAACGATGCTGGATTTCCCAACCCCAGTGTCCTGGAATCAGAAGGTCACACGTTAGTCACTGCTCGCTGTTCAACCACATTGATTAGACAGCGGTCCGGTCCCCATCACCCCATCAGATAGCTTCCAGTTAGGCCACAGATTCGGATTGCGGTGAAGGTAGCCTCCACTTCAAAAATCGTTATTCCGCAGTGCGCGTATATAACAGACATTATGGTAAGGACGCGTAGGAAATTACGTTAAAGTAAGTCCATTCATTCATTTAGTTACATTTATCGACTGTTAAATCTGGGACATTACTGGGTATACCTGTGATAGTTTTTTTTTTACTGCATTAGTATATAAATGTAGCACTTTTACTGGAACCCGGCTCTTATTTTGAAGTACCACACTCTCTTCAACGTAATGTCTTAATTCATTGATAAAAACTCTCTGAACGTCGCTTCCACCATCGCTAAAGATGGAGTGCGCTTTTTTTTTCTTGCTAACGCAGCAGGAAATCGAACTAACGGCCGTCTTGTTGCGCTTGGTATGACGTAATGCGCGTGCAACTATGCCGCTTTAAAGTAACGAACAGCGCAGAAGAAAAACGTCAAAAAACGCCGCTTTGTGAAGTCGAACATGACGTCACGTGATGAGAACGTGAAGGCTAAACGATCGTTGCGCCCACCCGTCGATCAGCTACTGTTTTTTTAGTTGAAGTCCGTTATCTGACATGTTGTCTGAATTGTCTGACGAGCAACAGCACAAGTTATCCCCCGTTACAGAACGAGTCAGCGCGGGTTTGTAAATGTTGCTCTTGACGGTAAAATGTTTTCGGTTTAAAGTTACGTTACACTCGAAGCGGACCGGGAATTTTTCCCCGAAAGTTGATCAACAAAAACATCACGTCACTTACCCCTAAGAGGCAAACTTTGAGCTCCCTTATGGCCATGGTGAATTCCGAAAGTTTTTTTTAAATAATTATTTTTAAAGTGTTGACTCGGTGCCTTTGTCTCATCGTGATGGAATTGTTTTCTCCCCTCTTCTTGGGTAAAAGAGAAACCCAGCCCCAGAGAGACAGAGTAACCGGCCGTCTGCGACGCTGGTGTCGCTACTTGTAGGACTTCCGGGGGTGACTTTCAAAATAAGAGCGAGATAGACTGATATAATGAATATTATAGTTTAGTTTTGTTGTGCATTTCTCCATTATGACGCTACTGTAAAATAACTATGGGTGTGTCAACGTGTCCGTTCATTTTGATGTGTGACCTTTGCATTTTGGTAATATATCAATTTGAGGGGAAAATCCAAAAATTTGGTTTGAATATATTTCTTTCAATTTATATGGAGCTCGTCCCACGAGTTGTTAAACTTTCATTTTGAAGCCCATTTTGCTGGTTTCCGCTATTGTTCTGCATGTTTTGTGTAACTTGACGTTGCTTCTTTCTAAATCGGCAAACTAGTTAAAGCAATGACGAAACAGTCATCCGTTCAACTATGTCTTTGCTAACGAGGCGTTTCTTCGTAGAAAAAAACTCAAAACTTAAAATACTTCACTTCCTCAAAATGGATGCAAGTGATCCATCTAAGAAACCCATTGGGTGGGGAGAGGGGAAAGTATTCAGAGAAGCTGTAATGGAAAACAGGACGCACCAAATCCGGACCACATTTCCAGCTGACATAGTTCATGAGTAAGGTAAAGGATGCGAGTCAGGGAAGGAGACGCAAACGAATCGTTTTTTATCAACACTTTATTCTTCACAGCATTATTCTGACTGCAACAAAAAGCTACAACATGGAAAAATAACCTCATGAGAAGCTTCCAAGCCCAATTTAGCATTTATCTGTTTTCAGTCACAGGATTGTTAACATGCTGTGTTGGGAGTTCAGGTGAGATTGCTTTGATTATCCCGACTCTGGAGCAGTCACACTAGTGTACTGCATACAGGCCATTAAAAATAAAAAAGGAACGTATGACCAAACATAAAAGCTGAGAATACAGTATATTTGCAATTTTACAATGGATGTACACAATCGGTAAGTAAGTGCCGCCCGTGCCTGCTTTAAATATCACTGAACAAGGACAGTACTTTGCAATAGTCATGGATCAGTTGTGAAATAGAACGATTGACTTTTTAAAATGTATTTCTTTTACTCACTTCCAACTGAAGCCGTGAACAGTAACTCCACATACCATGAACCTACCCCTTAAAAAACACAATCGAAAACACAACAAATCTAAATGAGTCTCCTGCGTGTCCCCGTACACATATTTTGGCGACAGTGACCATACCCAAGGACATAAATCCGTCATAAAACTGGAGAGACGTTGTTTTGACACATTTTTGTGCAAACGGAGGCGGAAAGAACAGACGATATTTGCGCCACAGAGCGGAGAGCGGGACGGACACGACGCAACCTCCAGATGTCTGGACACGTTTTACGGTGACGAAGACACTTTCCGTCCACCGGTCGGTGGGAGCGGTTCGACGCCACCGGGTCTTATTTGCATCTGCTGTTCTACCAAACGAGAGCACCTACAATATATTTATACACATATTTATATATTACTAAAAAGCTGTAACTTAAAATCATCGGGTTTCTTGAATGCTCACGGGTATTCTTCAGAATACTACTTTAATATATAATATATAGAAGCACCAACCCTAAGCGTTTGTATTAGTGGTTCTTTGGGGGAAGACATGGCCAGTGCGGCATGTTCGGTATTGGCACAGTGGTCTCTATTCTAACTCGCACGATATGCACCTGGCTGAGGGACGTAGTGACAGACAGGGACAGAGTTCATTATGGTTCATGATCATCTTTTAGAAAACCGTAACAGCAAAAAATAAAACTTTGTGATACATGGGTGGTTTTTAAATGCTATTTCTTAACCCAAACTGCTTCATTAGTGGGAGACACTGGAGGACAACTGGCCGCCGGCGGGGACGTTTGGCAGCACGGAGCCACCAAACGTCTCACATGTGGGTGTCCCTCCTGTCTTTGTTCGGGGAGGGTTTTGAAGGATCCTTGGCTGCCTTGCCATTGGACGAAGCGGCGGAATCTGCGGGGGCCGCCGCCGCCGCCACCGTGGCCACAGAGCGTTTGGTTTGCTCCTCGGCGCGGGGCTCCGGGCTCGGCTGCAGGGGCGGGGCCTGCTCGGCCGGCGGCTGGACGGTCAGTTCCTGCTGCAGTTTGTGGCTCTGCAGGAGGCGGAGCTGGACGCGGAGCTCCAAGATGGCTTCCTGCTCCTCGTGAATGGCCTGGTTCAGATGGGTGTTTTTGTTCTACGCGGCAATAAAGACACAAGACGGCATTTGTTAAGACAGAGAAAACACACCAAAAACTGGGCACTAAGAATTTCCATTTCATGAGCACAAACAACATTCTGAGACTTTACTTTGTCGGAAGTCAACATACTTTAAATCAACTTGTACTTCACTTTCACTTCCTTTTAAATAACGGTTTACTACAAAACGACTGTAAGCATCGAGTACATCAAATGTTTTGCTCACCTCCAGTTCCTCGTTTTGCTTCTGCAGGTCCTCCAGAATGATCTGCAGCTCTTCCTCATCTTCACTCTCACTTTCGCTGTCTGATGAATACTCCTCTGTCTCACTGCGGCCCTGCTGACGACTGAGGAACACACCGCTGCGTTACGGTTGAGACCGTCACAGCATGTAATGGCAGTTGTGCGTCGTACCACAACACATTTAGCAGCCCAGGCCCAGCCCAGTCTTTATCTGACCTCTGGATGTCGGCGATCTCTGCTCGCAGTCTCTCGATTTCCTCCTTCTCTGTGGCAATCAGTCTACGAAACACCTGCTCCAGAGAGATCAGCTCCTCCTGCTCGGTCAGGATCTCGTTCTCCTGATTGTGGAGACACAAGACGGTTCCATCTCAGGTTGTCACACATGGAGGGCTCCGTCTTGTAGTTCAAACACGTTCCTTATTCACTTGTGTTTGTGTGCGTTTGAATGACTCACCTGTGCCAAGAGGAGGATGATGACTTCCTCTTCATTCTCTGTCATTTCCTCTTTTGAAACGTCTTCCTTCGAGAGGCTTGCGATCTCCTGGGCTATTTTAGTCTCACACTCCTAAAAGGCCAAAGGAGGGAAGATGGAAAGTAGTGGATCGTGTCACGTGGTAACCAACCAACTACCACGTTCATTGAACAGCTTCCAGTAAGTTGGTTTGAATGTTTCTTCCCTTATTCAACGATGACATAAACAACGTTCTCACATACAGCGTCGTGACACAAGTTACCTGACGTTTAGCCTCCCTCAGTTTGCGTTTTAGAGCGGTCAAGATTCTCTGAACCTCCCATAGACGCTCCTCTTTGGATAAGTCCTTCACCCCCGCCTGCAGGTCTCTGTGCAGGCAGTTGAGCAGGAACTCCTAAAACACAAGAACATAAACAACAGTATTACACAGTACAGAAGTCTGCTCAAGAGAAAACAACGCATTGCTTTTTTTGTACATTTTATGAGCTGGCATATAAATGATATAGCCAATACTTCTGCACATGAGAGAATATCAAGTCCTGGAGGACTGAGACACCGAGGACAAGATAAATGGAAAACAATGGAAAATAAAGGGAACAGAAGCTGCTTATTGCATTACCAACACACTCAAATGTGTAAACAACTTATCTTTAATTAAAAGGATATCTAATTATTTTAGAGAACTTCCAATTGTAATATACCCGACTAATTGATTTCCAGAGTCTTTCTTTCAGTCCTTAAGCAAGAAAAGGATTCGGGACTATTAATTCACTTCATAATCCACAGTAAAAAAGTTTCAGTTTTATGTGCAGGACTACTTCCTATTTTGTCTCGGGCGTCAGTTTCGTATGAACTAGACAGAGTGTGTTATATCCCTCTAGAAGAGATATTTAGGTTTATAAATAACACTGTTCCCTTAATGCTCCATTGATCGATTCTGTCGAACCTGTCGCCGGATCTCCTCTTTGACGTCGTCTTGGGTCTCGGGCAGCGCCGGCATGGTGGCCATGTTGGACCAGCGGAGGGGCCGCACCACCGGCTTCAGGACGACGTCTCCAAACAGCTCCCTCACGTGTGTGAAGAACATGTAAAGGACCCGGTTCCCAATCTGAATGTGAGGTAAACAAACCGGTGAACACAAAGCAAAGCAGCTTCAGCGCGCTGCACTGATGGCATGTCGTCTTCCAGTGCGTGTGGGTCGGATAAGAGTTTGTATCACGTGTTTCAGACTCAACTATAAAACACAATTGCCTCCTTCTCCACAACTGAAATTCTGACATATTTACTCAGCCTAATTAAACTGACTTCAGACTCCACCCACTAATTGAGTATTACTTTAAAGCCGTTGTTGCCCATCCTGCTGTTGCTTCAGAATAAATGGAGCAGCCGGAGAGACGTCTCCTAAGGGAATAAATTAGATCCCAGAAACTAGGCCAGGGTTTTAAAGAAAACTGGCTGACTGAAAAACTCAATTGCTCTGTTGCTGAGGGGCATCTTCTTATCTTTGAGATACACTTGAGCCTGAGCTTAAGACATTCTTTTTATTTCATGTTTACTTTTCCCGTGGCAGCTGAATTACTGCCATCTGTAACATTCGAAGAGGTCTCCCTTTGTTATTGCTCTCTGACCTGTATGGTTGGGTTGAGGACGATGGAGATATTCTGAATATTCATCTTGGTGTCCGCCTCCCTGGTGATGACGTGGTCCATGTGCGTGACGAGCCAGGTGAGAAGCAGCCGGCTCTGTGACGGCACCTCGGCCAGCAGCCTCTGGAACTCGGCCATCTTCTCCGCCTCCACCTGCCGCCCGCAGGCGTCCTCGAAGCGCAGGGCCAGGTCTCGGCCCAGCAGGTTCTCGGGCAGCTCGCGCAGGTACTGCTTCAGTAGGCTGGCCACCGTGTGGGGGTCGTACTCCTCCAGGCAGGGGCACTCCTCGCGGTCATAAGCGGCTTTCAATTCATCCACTTTGGACTTCATACCTGAGGGGGAAAGAATCAAGCATCAATCCGATTTAAAAGAACATCAAAATGAATTCATAGATCACAAAAAAATCAACAGCGCAGTTTCTGTACCCGAGACGCGGTAGATGCCTTCACACTTCATGCCGTAACTTTCGATGTAGTCCACACATTCTCTGAACACAGCGGGCAGCTGGATACCATCGTACAGCGCGGTCCTCTTGACAGCCTCCGTCAGAGGGGCTCCAAAGATGGGCCTGAAGGTGGGGATCTCCACCGGGACCGGCTCGACCTCTGTTGTGGGTTTCTTCTTCTTCTTCTTCTCCTTCCATTGTTTTACCACGTCTGCCGCCGTCAGGTCCTTTGATTTTTTGTCCTTGGCCTTGTCCTCCTTGGGGCCCTTCTCCTTCACCTTGAAGTCCTTCTCCTTCTTCTTGGAGAAGCTGGGCTTCTTGAACACATGGATTCCCTTGGAGCGCTTCATCTTCGACGGACTCTCAGCTTCATCTGCTGAACTGTCCTCCTGGAAGGCTGCGTAGCCTTCCGCTGTAAGCGGAACAAAGGAGCGGGGAGAAGAGAAAATGGGGTTAGAACGGAGAGGAGAAACATCTTCTTATCCGCCCCTTTACGACAGAACCATTAGAGCATTGAAAAAGAAACAGGAAGAGAGATGTGTGAGAGACAGAAAAGATAGCAAAGGAGGGGGGAGATGGGGAGTTAGAAAAGAGGTCAGCCACAGATTTAGCATAGCTCCCACAGCACCTCCAGTCTAGGACAGGCTCAGTCCAAGTGTTTCTCCTCGGAGCAAACAGCTACACCACAGTCCCAGAGACAGCTCGCAGCCGCCTGGCTACTAATGATCTCTACTCTGGGTTTTCACACCTTTCGTTGGGCTATCTGGGTGTGCTCGGAAAACAGCTCTTCCTCTCCTCCACCCTACACTGGTGTGAGGGCTAAATACAGACATGGAAAAAATCCAGATAGAAAGAGGACAATGAGCCAGAGAACCACTCGGTGAAAAACATCCTCAGTAAAAGGAACATTTCTCACTGCTGCAGGCTGCAGCCAACAGGATGGGAAAGTATGAAGCTCTCGCTTTCTCTCAACAGCGAACACTGGGATGACCCTCAGCGACGTTACAAAGGTATTTAGTTCCCAAGTACTTTACAGCTAAAGGTGAGTGACATCAAGTAGATGACATGTATGTACTTGGTAGCTCCAAGATGTTTAGTGAGAAGAATGGTGATACTTGACATGTGTTGTGGATATATTGTCTATATATCCAGAACACAGTTATTAAACAATTCAAAGAAAGCATTAATGAACACATTGGATGCTGTACATTTCTCAATTAGTCCTAGTTGGCATGCCAACCATGTACTGAGGCATGTCCAGTGAGTGACCTTGAGCTTTTTCAAACTATTTCTGACGTCAAAATGATCTTTAAGCTGAGATGACGGAATAGTGTCTTACTCCTTTTCTCCTTCTTCTTGAACTTGTTCTTCTTCTTGCTGTGCTCTTTGTCGTCGTCCGAGACGTAGGCGTCGGGTGTCTCGTGGTGATGGCCGTCATGGGGCGGCGACGGTTCGCCCGTGCGGTACAACCCGGGAAACTTGGTGGGACTGATCTCCTCGGAGCTGGGGGTGCGGGCCACGCCCCCTGCGTGTTCAGCCCTACGCTGCTCCGCGGGGCTGCTGCTGGGCGGCAGGAAGCACTCAGTCATGTCTGCTCTGGCCTTAACACTCCTCCGACTGATGCATCACCTCTCCCATCACACCTGCAGCGGGTAGAAATGAAAGATGAGAAAGATACGGCGTTCTACTGCACAGATAATACCTGTGTATAAGGAAATACATACGAAATGCACTTGATAACTATTTAAGAGAAGATTATAGCAACACAAATGTACATGACCAGAAATAGCAAAATAACTAAACAAAATCCTTTCATTGTCTCCGCAGTTTGAGCCCCAACACGTAGACTCTGCAATAGTTTAGAAACCATGTTAAAACCAGCGATAATTTTATTTACTGAATATCTTAAAACAAAGCAGCTTTGACAGTAATGTCTCCCCACCAGATGGGGCTCTGCTACATCACATTCTACATGTCCTACTTTTAGTTAGCTAAATCAAAGCCCCGTCCATTAGAAAAGGAGCTTTATCAGAAACAAAGCCCTGACGACAATAGGTCAGATTATATTTACAAAGTTAGATTTGAAACAGAAGTAGGGCTGTTCTGCACTGTTTATTTGTTTAGTCGAAGGACAAAAGGAAAGGATCAGCTGTCATGTTTTAGGAAGTAGACTGATTACGTCATAACTGCAAGGACCTCCGTATGTTTAAACACACTAACGTTGCCTGGTAGAATAACTCTTGTTACACATTAATACTAGAAACAACTTGGATTTATATCAAGTGTTTAGTATGGTGAGTCCAAGAAAATACGCTGCACTGCCTTGTGACAAGACAAATGACGAAACAAATGTGTTAACTTAATTATTCAACACACAGCAATACGTGCACCGACTCGGGACACAATAACTGTAAATATAGCCCGTGTGTCTCTTAATCTTCCCTCGCTGTAGGCAGATTATCATCTTTCTTACCCTGCGAGGTTAATTAACCACACACGTCCCATAGCAAACGTGACGTTAAAAGGCTAATGCTAGTATATTCAGTCATGAATTGAAACACCTCTGTATGAAGAAAATAGTTAGAAAGTAGAAGCTCTCCTTAAAATGTAGGGGCCCATATGCTAACGGTAGTTCCGCTAGCTGCCAACCTGCTAAACTAGCCGATTAGCTAGCCTATCCGTTGGGATTAAAACCGTTGTTTTGTCCAGATAAAACCAACATGATGTATACAGCTAGCAAAATGTAATTAACTATATTCTGTGGACGCTCTACTGTCATTTAACACGCAAAACACAAAACACAAAAAACTTTACCAAGAACTATCCCGTTCGGTCAATTCCGGAGTCGAGCTTCCGGTTGTCTGTATACTAAATAAACCTATCTGCGCTTGCGCGAGTTCCGAGTTGCATTGTGGGAAGTGGAGTTTGACGGATAATCTGTAAATAACTTTGCGGTTTTAACGCAGATGTATAGTCTATGTAGGTTTCTTGGCCTCGAATGATCTGGATTTGATGAAGAATGTTTAGGCTGTGGTCCCATTTTGATTTTAACCACACATTTGCTGTAACTCAAGCCTGTGTGAAAGATAAACTGTCAAACAATGCGTTGAAAAGCCACTATCATCTAAATGTGGTGAAACCACTTGTTATTGTAAATCACGGGGCCTTTCCAAATGCTGTGGTTGCACTCAGAAGACCCGTGGTCAACCTGACATAAGAAACACATTAATCCTCTGATCATTGTTGTTGGCACCAGCTGCTCCAAATCCACAGCTGCAATTGCGAAATGAGGCCATGATTCAATATCATAAAAAAAAAAGAAAGAAAAGACAAACAATGTCTCATTGTGCATACGGTACATTAGTCAGCGCAAACTGCTGTTGCATGCCAATTGGGAACAGAATCAGTGATAGGGCACCCTGCTGCCCTTTTGAAAATGCACTGGCATTACAAAGAGCACTTGTGTGCGGCGGTGAGAGATTGGCATCGGTAAATGTTCCCTTTCCCCTCCGCTTGCATGAGACGGTCATTGAGCACTGGAACACCTGTGGACCCGAATGGCATAACAACAACTTTGTTTCCCAAGGAAATTATGCGTTTCCTGACTTGGGCAACACTAGGCTATGATTAGAGCAGGAGACGCACAATTGGGAGAACAAACATTTACTATTCCACTGGTTCACATTTTTACACATCATTTTACAAAAATATTTAGAGAAAGAAAACATATTTTAAGATCAGACACTTTTCTGTGAGACAAAACAGTCCATGTCACCAAACTGATCTTTATTTGGCATGCGACAAGGATTTAGCAGACCATAATTGTAAAAAATACGTTATTCATATACACCTCTAGTAAAAAAACACTATTGAAAACATCTAAAAATATACAGTGAAAACTAATAAAAACAAATAAAAAACAATTTGCTGGATTAGGAGGAGCGGTGTGGGGGATATTTTACAAGGTACCTGAGGAATGCTAACACATAACAGTCGTAGTTTCCTCCGCCCTCAGTCCTCTGGTATGGCCCAGACATTCGGTACCACTATGCGCCCGCATTTCAGAAGAGACAGTTCATGCACTTCACAGCCTTGCTGCCGTAGTCTACACACTCGGGTCCGATGCACTGGCAGCAGGCGTTGTGAAACCAGCGGTACTTGGATCCTCCCATTGACTCACAGTATAGTTTACACTGACGGATAGACACGCAGTCGTCAAAGTAGACCACCGTGCACATGTTTTCTGAAATTAAAATGTTTGAATGAAAAGGGGAAAGAAAGAAAACGTGAGTCACATATCCCAAAAAAAAAAACCCTGTGTTTATCAAAACAAGCAGCATTTTCACGTAATTACCTTTCAACCCTCAATGTTCCTACTTTAACTTCAGGGGGGGAATTCATTTGCTGCAAATAAGTGTGACCATATGTGTTGGTGGACTTAATAAGTTAACTGCTTGGCTCTGTGGGAACACTCCCATTATAAGTGTGTCCTTACAGAAAATAGTACCGACTCAAAGGGCAGACAGCCAAGACACCCACAAATAAAAATTCAGAGAAATACGGCACAGGAAAGACCCTTTAAACACAGTTGCAATTACGTAAACTGGATGACTTTTGGCAATTCTGCCCCGATGAAACACGAGCCAACTCAAACCGGCCGTAGTTCAACACTTTACAAACTGCTTCAGCTCTGTGCGGGCCGACCTTTATTATTTCGGGTCTTAGTCAGTCTGCATAAATACAAATGAAAATTGCAGCTGGACCCGACGGGACCAGATGATTAGTGTGTGATATTAATATGCGTGCATCTAATGTTTTTTTAATAGGAGTGCCTCTTTATTGGTGCCTCAAACCAATGTGAGGCTGCTCACTATCAAACAGCAAGTGACCAACCGCTGTTCTTTAATTCAGGTCCCTCAGTAACACTGGACGGCTTCTCTACAATAGGTCTGCAACTAGCAAGTGAAACCAGTAATTCTAGTTGAATATTGAAGCTTTATCGTGAAATAATCTGGTGATGACTACTATTTTTTTTTTTAAATTACTTTCACATTTTTCCAGAGCTCAAGTGACCAATAGCCTTAATCTCAAAGATACTTAACACACAATAATGTAAAACTGTATAAAGTAGGATTATTATTAAAGTGGAAAAAGTCCAGCTAATGCCAGTCCTTTATACACTGTTGGCTAGTTAAATCGATTAAAATCCTTCATATTTAATAAGCTCATCGTATGTTTTATCTAAATCCACAAAATCTGCAAAGCAACAATTGACTATAGCTTTTTGTGCTCACGGATCAAAAGGGGATTACTGCACGCCAAAATAATCCTTCAAAGCTCAAGCGTTTACCTTGAGTGTCGTAGCTGGCGTGGATACTGTTGCTGGGCAACGAGACGTTCTGAGGGTGGGTGTCGAGCGACTCGAGGAAGGACACCAGGTTCTCGTGATGGGAGAGCTCATCCGCGATGGGGAAGGTCACCACCATCATGTTGATGGGCGCGTCGCCCTCCGTCAGGGCGCGGAACAGCGAGGGGATCGGGCGGTGCAGCTCCTCCACGGTGCTCTTCGCCGTGGCCGGAGTGTCGCTGTAGTTCTTGGGGTTACACATCCCTGATGCGGAGAGATGGATGAAGACATTGAAAAGGTCAGTTTGGGGAATAAATACAAAATGGTCATATCTCTATTCAGCCATGCAAATAGTTTTATTTGTGCAGGACTTTTGGGATTAAGACAGTGTTTACAGGTTAGATGGAATTTAATTGTCACAGTATTGAAAAAATGTTTAGGACAAAAAGCCATTGATTTAAAGGGAGACCCTGAAATTTATTAGGATAAACAAATTATTAATAATAATAATAATAATAATAATAATAGGTACCACCAGTAAACTTCCTCAGTTGATCACTTTTAGAATATAGATTGGAAGGAAGTCTGTTGTACATAAGTGCTGTACAGACCTCCCATACATTTTACAAGACTCAACAGGTGAACAGAGTAAAAGAAAAACGTATTATTATTATATCACCATGGACCTTCTACAACTTGCATTGAGACAATTATTTTGTCTAAAATTGTATTTCTAAATATGCTAAATAAACAAGTAGTAAAATAAGCATCTAAATGTGTATTTACAATGTTTTCGTTCTCTCGTTTCAAAGATTATCGAAGGCAAAACAGATAAAAATCACAAAACGGACTTTGTTCATATACTCTACTTTATAATATAATACTTTCTCTACACTGCCAGGAATTCAATTCTAGTGCAGAATACCGATTTCTAATTTCAATCTAACTAATGTGGAGGTTTTTTTTCTTCTTCTAAACGGGCCTTTAAAAACTCGACATGTTTATTATGTGTGTCATTATGGAACGTCAGCTGTTCTTCATTTCATCATACTCCTTAAATTCACACATTATTAGCACTGAGGACGTGACCTCAGGCCACAGCCTTCACGGTGCTGGAGGCAGAAACCTGAGGAGGAGGAGATCCCAAATCTCCCAAATGAAACCAAAACTATCTCAATGTCTAGATACCACCAGCGGTTTTCTGTTTTCCTTTCATGATTTGGGGGAACTGACCCTTCAGGCACAAAGGCGTCGTTTCATGGTTAAATGGTTTCCCACATGATTTCAAGTCACACGGAAAGTTTTGTAAAACCACACAGCTGTCATGGGTATCTTGTCTCAATTAAGATCCTTTTAACACTTCATTTAAAGTCCAAATACAGAAGCAATCATTTGACAAAGTCCCCACATCCACTGATATGATCTTCCTAAGCCTTCAAATGAGTCAAAGTGAATTACAGCTAATGGGTAAATCATTTAATGGGGAACCAAGTTTGACATTAGAATTGGATTACAAACCAATGCTCAAAGCGGAGCCAGAGCAGCTGTTTTAGATGAAGCTTACACATGGGTCCTCCCTTCATGTCCTCACTCCCTCCTCCTCCCTTCCCCTAAAATACAAACTGTCCTCTCCCCGCTATACTGGGCTGCTCTAACCACTCGCAGATACACACTTCAAAGTAGCCAGAGTTTGGCCCAGTTATCATGTTTAGAGTGGAAACTTACTAAAAGTGGTCAGGAGGCAAAAAAAAAAAAAAGGCATATAAATGAGAAATATATTCCAGCTTAAAGCTACAGGCTGTCGGCAGAGTATTTGTAAAAGGCATGTTTTCGGGAGGAAAGCTGCACCACCCTAACATCTGTGCAGAGACTTCGGCGCTCAGTCAGATCCGTGTATTTGGGTTCCACATGAAAGAGTTTTAATAAAGCCGCCTTGTCAGCACGCACAGTAATATCTGTCCGTCAAAGCTGCTCCGGGATCCTGCTGGAATACAGGGACTGACAGAGGGACGGAGACTTATGCAGGGCCCCCCCCCCGACCCGCCCGACACTACGTCACACGGAAAGATCGAAGAAGACGCCGTTGGACGCCGTTTGTTAAGAGCCGATCGTTGGATCAAGCATCTGTCAATCAAACTGTCAGAGCAAAGCGAGTCGCTTTTTCACTCCTCGCGTTGTCGCCAAACCATCGATTGGTCCGTGCTCCGGCTCAACCAACGCACTAACCAGCCGCACCGCACGCCAGCCATGGAACATCTGTATTTAAATGTCCTGCTTTAAAGTAAATCAAACTGCTAAGAAGAAAAAAAAGATGTAAAAGAAACAATTCCCAAGACAACACAAAACAAGCCTGCATCTCTTGCTCCACTAAGCCGTGTGTTGGGAGTTATTTCCCCACATCTGTCTTTGAGAACCAAGTCTTTAGGAAAGTGCCCCCACTCTTTGAATCTGAGCCCCCTCCCCGCCGTCGTTCCCGAGCTCAACCCGCCCCTGCTGGTTTCGAGGCAGGTTACAGATGAAGAGAGGAGCTAACGAGCTGACTGTTCTCTCCTTTCACCAATCCGGTTGGTTTTGTCCCTCGCTGGGATTCATAA